GGAATGACTCACAGTCAGGGCTTCTGCTTAAAGCCAAGACTTAAAAAACACAGAGAACTGGTGGGTGTATGCAGGAAAACAAACACGCTCTTTGAAGATTTTAAAACTCTGATTTGGCTCCAGCGTCGAGCATGGAGACAAACCCTGAACCCGTCCGGCTGTCACTTGTCCTGTCTGCTCGTCCAGACGCCTCCTGATCAGATGGCCTCACTCAGACATCGGCAGCTATGCTCCTGAAATGGAACTAACTGCTCAGCTAAGTCTAACCTAAAACACAACAAACACTGTTTGTGTGGGTATCAGCTGGGAATCCAAACACTCTCGCAGTTGTTGTGCAGATACTTCTTGTTGACTGAAAGCACAACTCGTGACAGATGGTGGTTAGGTGAAAGAAACCAGGACAGACGCCCAGCTAAGGGAGACGATGAGAAAAGGAACTTTTACGGTCTCTTGAACTGTGAGGTCACAAGTTATTTTAAACCTGCCAGAGAGCAGACGGTTTCAGCCATGTGTCTCAGACGCGAATGAGAAGACTGAGTGTGCTTTCTGTTCTGGAGTCTGAACCCCGTTTTAGCGGCAGAAGCGGGCAAACGCAAAGGCAGCCTGGAGCCACATATGAGAGGATAAAATATCAACAGTGCAACGTGGTGAATGATCAGCTGACTGGTTTCATCATTCAGTGCTGCTTACTTAAGCACACGGCTCTTATATGAATCACTGAATCCAACTATTCTTTGTACTGACAGATGATGTTTTGAGTTTGAAAAGAAACTTTTATAATCTATAAAAGACTTTAAATACTTTAAATCATGCAGAATGCTTGTGTTATTATTGCAGATATATTTAGTCCAAAACTAAACAGATTTCTAGTTGTTTACTTACTTTAGGTCACGTTAACTTGCAGCTCTGCAAACAAATTTTAAGTTCAAACATAATCTCAGGCCCCGTATTTTCTACCGTTTAGATGAGTGAGAATGGGCTCATCAGGTCCAGATTTTTAGATGTTGTTTTATTTAAACTGAATATTTTAGCACCATATACAGGGAGTGCAGAATTATTAGGCAAGTTGTATTTTTGAGGAATAATTTTATTATTGAACAACAACTATGTTCTCAATGAACCCAAAAAACTCATTAATATCAAAGGTGAATGTTTTTGGAAGTAGTTTTTAGTTTGTTTGTAGTTTTAGCTATTTTAGGGGGATATCTGTGTGTGCAGGTGACTATTACTGTGCATAATTATTAGGCAACTTATCAAAAACAAACGTATACCCATTTCAATTATTTATTTTTACCAGTGAAACCAATATAACATCTCCACATTCACAAATATACATTTCTGACATTCAAAAACAATACAAAAACAAATCAGTGACCAATATAGCCACCTTTATTTGCAAGGACACTCAAAGCCTGCCATCCATGGATTCTGTCAGTGTTTTGATCTGTTCACCATCAACATTGCATGCAGCAGCAACCACAGCCTCCCAGACACTGTTCAGAGAGGTGTACCGTTTTCCCTCCTTGTAAATCTCACATTTGATTATGGACCACAGGTTCTCAATGGGGTTCAGATCAGGTGAACAAGGAGGCCATGTCATTAGTTTTTCTTCTTTTATACCCTTTCTTGCCAGCCACGCTGTGGAGTACTTGGACGCGTGTGATGGAGCATTGTCCTGCATGAAAATCATGTTTTTCTTGAAGGATGCAGACTTCTTCCTGTACCACTGCTTGAAGAAGTGTCTTCCAGAAACTGGCAGTAGGACTGGGAGTTGAGCTCGACTCCATCCTCAACCCGAAAAGGCCCCACAAGCTCATCTTTGCTGATACCAGCCCAAACTAGTACTCCACCTCCATCTTGCTGGTGTCTGAGTCGGACTGGAGCTCTCTGCCCTTTACCAATCCAGTCACGGGCCCATCCATCTGGCCCATCAAGACTCACTCTCATCTCATCAGTCCATAAAACCTTAGAAAAATCAGTCTTGAGATATTTCTTGGCCCAGTCTTGACGTTTCAGCTTGTGTGTCTTGTTCAGTGGTGGTCGTCTTTCAGCCTTCCTTACCTTGGCCATGTCTCTGAGTATTGCACACCTTGTGCTTTTGGGCACTCCAGTGATGTTGCAGCTCTGAAATATGGCCAAACTGGTGGCAAGTGGCATCTTGGCAGCTGCACGCTTGACTTTTCTCAGTTCATGGGCAGTTATTTTGCGCCTTGGTTTGTCCACACGCTTCTTGCGACCCTGTTGACTATTTTGAATGAAACGCTTGATTGTTCGATGATCACGCTTCAGAAGCTTTGCAATTTTAAGACTGCTGCATCCCTCTGCAAGATATCTCACTATTTTTGACCTTTCTGAGCCTGTCAAGTCCTTCTTTTGACCCATTTTGTTGATGTCATTAGACCACACCCCTTCTCATTACAGAGATGCACATCACCTAATATGCTTAATTGGTAGTAGACTTTCGAGCCTATACAGTGTAAGGTTATGAAGTTCATTGTTTTCAACTCCACACAGCTGCCCCCTGTGCATAATAACACCCGTGTAGAAAAACCAAGGTCGAGTGTTCCTCAGACTGTTTACATTCCAGGAGAAGAGTCCGAAGGAGAAGAAGAAGCTTTACTTAATCAAAGTACTTTATTTGTGATTAAAATTATTAAGCAAAACAGATGTTGATCAACAATAATCAAGTGAATGAGCTGTGAAATAAATATGTCATGAGTTATTTTTAATGAAAACAGGACAACTGCACAGACATACTGACCCTCATCTCCATAGAAACGCATGACACATTGTTCCAACCAATCAGAGCTTTCGGCTGCCGCAGGAGAATGTGGTGTTGACTTCAAGTGTCCAATCCACTTTACTACAACTTATCAACAATTCAGAGATATAAAACAAGGCAACGCCATTTTAAGATCAGTTCCATTTTGACTTCAGTTCTATTCACCGTCATCCTAAAGAAAAGCACAGCCTGGCCAGATGTGTTTTCTTCTTTAAACTAAGAACTGTGAAGCGGGAGATTTTCGTCGTTTAACAACCAGACGACATCCTTTCAAAATAAGAGCACCTGCCAACGCCGCCGATTAGTACCGGGGTCGACCCTCCAGACGGGCTTTGAAACGTTGTGACCGCTGCACCGACAGCTCCAGCGTACATCCGAGGTTCTTGGACCTGGCATTTCCTGATCTACCTGGGAGACCCCCACTGGGTACGTACACGGCAAAATAGCGGCTCATGTCATCACTTTATAAGCCTCGTGATATCTAGTCATAACAAAGACGACCAGATTCCTTTACGTCAGCCTAAAGAGTCTGAACCAGCCACACACACACACACACACACACGCACCAACACAACATCCGAATCCATTTTCATCCATCACAGAGTTAGTCCTGGTAGATTGTTTAGAATTTATAATTAAGCAATTAAAGATTCTCAAACGATCCCATCTCTCTCTCTTTTCTTGTCTCAAAGTCAATACAGAGTGTTTAATTAAACTCCCTGATGATAAAAACAGGCTATTCTTCTGTTTATAAAAAGTGAACTACTTACAGTGTATTAAAATACAACTCTAGATAGAGACATCACTTCAATTCCGTTACAACAGCTTGGAGTAAGACAACATGCAAGAAGAGGATGATGTGGATTAAATACTCATTTGCCTAATAATTCTGCACTCCCTTTATATGAATAGATATTTAATGAAGCTGGAAACTTTATCTAAGGTTTTATGTTTTAAATATTTACCTCCAAATCTAATTTAACCCTTTGATGCATAACGGTCACTACAGTGGACAGGTACTCAAAATTGTTATTTATTTGTTTTTGCTATTAAGCACAGCTGTTGAAGACTTTATTGTATTTGAGCCCCTCCATTTGGACTTCAGTAAGGCAAGCCAACATATTTCATGCTCAGAATGCACGCTGTCCACTGAGGTGGACATGTAATAAATTATTTGTAAATTATAAAATTTTACAAAAAATATTTGTTGAAATTTGTTTCATTCACACCTAAAGACAAATGAAAAAAATTGTTAAAAAAATCATGGTTGAAGATTTCATAATTCATGCATCAAAGGGTTAAAGAGACTTTTCTTAAATGTGTTTCTTCCTGGATACAATAATAGTAATCTGATCTGTAGAAGTATTTAGTTTTGTTCAAATGTTTAACATTTTTTACTGATTCATAAATTAATTATGATCTGATTTATTAATATTATAATACCTAAAATTATGACCACATAGAAAAGGGGAAGTGCACACCTGTCAGGCTGCTACTGTCATAATTACTATGTGATTTTTTGAGCCACTGTCCTTTTTCAGACTAATTAAAGTTACAGAGAATAGTTTTTACCTGCCTGAATGCTTAAAAAAAAAGCAGCTCAAGCCCACTTGTTCTGGCTGGCTACTGTGTGTGAACTCCTGCTTCTTTTCATGCTGGTGTTGCTATCATTTGTGCACATTTTAAGGCTCCTTTGTTGTTTTTCATTTTCATTCGTGATCTTATTTTATATTTTTACATTTGTATTGTGCTTGTGAAGCCCCTTGTGATTTTTGTATTGAAAGATGCCACTTTCTTTGAAACCCTCTTTATAACATCTGTGAACTAATTAAATCAGAATGACAAACAAAATGATTTAAAAATACTGTTATTGCTTCTAATCTGCAAATTTAGAAAATATAAAACTAGATAATTCAATAATTTATGAGACAAATTTATTGTAGAAAATCTCTGAACTAAAGACAACTGACTTGTTGACTGTGAATTTTATAATGTCCCATCTACTAGAACCCAGAACTGTTAGATGGAGTTTTATAATGATGCCTTTTGTTGTTTTTCTACCTGAGCTGTAATGAGTAACTTGTGTCCAGGTCAAACAGGACGTTTCTCCATGACTTTAACATCTTATCAGGACACAAAGTACACCGAGTTATAATAACATGGGGCCAGGTGCAGCTTAGCTGTGCTGCAGCAGGTGCCTGATGACCTGGGGACTCACCTGTTTGAGGTCATCGTAGAAGACCCCGATGGAGCGGAGCTTTGGCCCGATGCTGCAGCTCTCCGTGAAAGCAGCCCCGCAGTCCTTATACGAGCCTTCGTGGAACTTATAGGCGACCGTAACGTTTCTGACAGGAGGTGGCCCCGTTTTAACAACCACGTCCGACAGCAGCCCCGAGTACACTAGCAGCCAGCCGACGGTCACTGCCAGACAAACTAACAGGACGATGATCAGAAGCAGCAAAACCAAATCAGACATTGTCCCTCAGAGCGGAGCAGCAGCAACGCTTACAGCAGATTTCTGTCAAAGCTAACCCTTCTCCCCGGACACGCTGAGTTTGGTGTCCTGACGCTTCAGAATACACCACAAAACCGCGTTTTCCCAAAAGTACAATGCGGAAATTGTTTACTTGCACAAACCGGTAAAGCTGAAAGTCAAATAACTAGAAAAAGGGGACACGAAGAAGGCTCGTTTGTTTGTGGTACTTCCCCAAACAGAGGAACACGTTTCCTGAATGGCCCATTGTTGACACTCGGAGGGGGGTTCGGTAATGTTAAAAGAAATTCAAACTAATTGTTTGGTTTTCATTCCTCTGTTAAACCGTTATAACACTATGTTTTTTATTTTAATTGACACACCGCGTTCATTTTAACTTTTCGTGGACCATTATAAAGCAGCGCTAACGCATTCACTCCGATCACACACACCCATGTAGCATAGTGGTTCAGCCCAGGTGTTTAGACCCGGATTCCCTCGCTTTGTAATGTTTTTTTAAAAGGATTTAATATTTAGTTTCCATTCAGATAGGTGTCGATCTTGTTCTTCACATGAAATAGAAGTTTTACCCAGCTGCTGACATTGATTTAAAATATGGAAATCCATAACACCCAGAATGCCGAGATAAATCATTAAAATGTAGGGCCTGTTTTATGTGGGTTTTAGCCAACAGGCTAGCGTGCACTTTTCAGTTTGAGGTTGAACTGTACTAAACTTTAATTTTAACTACATGAATTATACTAAATCCGATAAGAATGCTGCTGTCAGACAATTACAAATCTCCGTGTATTCTAATTGTAAAGACGGAGTAGACTGAAATTTTGTTTTGATTTTAGGATTTTATATGGAAAAGTAACTCAAATTATATACATTTTCTTTAGGGATGGTTTTTATACAGCTTTTAATCAGTGAGTTTCTTAACGCATCCTGTTCAACATTGTTTAAAAAAATTAATACAAGTTCTCATCAACTCAAGTTGCTTCATACTGAAAAACCATCAATCGTTTATTTCAGTGCCAAACCGATAAAAGAAACCATGCTTCAAGTTTTAATGTATTTTATTTTCAGCATTAACAAAAATAAAGCCAATAGTTAATAATTCCTAAAATCTGTTTTATGTCAGACATTTAGACATACATCATAAAACACGTTAATAACATAGTGACAACACACATTACACATTTTACTAACTGCATTTATAAATACGTCTAAACAATTCCTCCTAAACAGTTATTGCCACTTTCATAATGTTATTTCAAATGTGTACAGCTGACTATCCAGATAATCAATCAATCTCATAAACGTGCAAAACTTTTATCAACCACAGCAAAAGCTGCTAAACCGTATAAATCATCAGTTATTATGGTAGTCAGGGTTAATCGGAGTCATCTGAATTTTCCTCTTGATCCATATGGCCCGACCTGTTATTCTTAGGAATTCTGTCACCGTCGTTCTGGTCCTGCAGGAAACCACACAAAAAAGATTAGGTACATTTTAAGGTCTAGAGCAGCTGGTTGTGAACGCAGAACACAACAAGTCAATGTTACAAAATTGGTTTTTTAAGTTTTTCTTACTCCAAATCACAATCCACACGATTGTATGTGATGCATGTGAGGTGCAGGACCAATAAAAAAAAAACAAGTTCTGGATCTGAGGTGGTCTTGTAAAATAATAAACCTTCTTGTGTTTGTACAGCATGGACAACTTTGATATCTTCAAAGGCGTGTCCACATTCTGGACGTAGAAGATTGATGGTTTGAGAGAGGAGTAAAAGAAGCCATCTATGTAAAACATGAAAAACCTACTTTAAATAGGGGAGGGGCTTAGATTTCACCTTTCCAGCACCTATAACGCAGCTTTGAATCTCATTCCTAAGCGGCTTCAGTCTAGGTCACATCTTCCTGCATCCAACTAACACAACAACTTCCTCTCAATAGAGAACGACTCATCAGGGGGTAGAGAGGAGGGGTATTCAGAGTAGTTTCTGCTCGTTAAATAACAACAGACAACTACAGCTTTTAAACTTGACTCTCCCATATTCCAGTTAGAATTGAAAAAGCTCCTCAGATGAGAAGCAAACCGTCTTCAAGAAACCAAAGAAGTCCAGTTGCCTTAAATTGAACCCTTTGGATTACCATGACCTGGATGACTGAGAACCTTCACCAGCATGTTTAGTCAAGTACCTCATCATCCGATCGCTCCTGTGGTTGTGCTAGCCCCTGGTTCTCCTCCTCTTCTTCATCATCATCATCACTCCCCTGAGACCTCTGAGAAAGAATCTCCTCACCCTGCGAGACGTTTTATTACTGGTCAGAACCCACAAACCCAAACAACGATGAATTCAAAGACCTTTATTACCTTCAGGTTGCGATTCTTCAGGTTGCCCATCCAGAAGGCCTCCTGGCAGTTGTTGAGCATCAGCATGGCCTTCACTCTGTACACAAACAGCTCCAGACTCTTCTTGAGGGCTGGTACGTGGCTAGTCAAGCTGGTGTCCTGATGGATCTGAGAACCAACGGGTAACTTATTGAAGCTGTACTTCTCATGCTCAGACCTGGTTAGCATTAAGATTTAAGGAAGACCAGACACAACCTTTGAATGTCCACACATGTGGTGCAGCTGCCGGGTGCTGAGCTGGAAGGTCTTCAGTAAGCTCTGGACATCCTCCTGCGAAACAGTCGACCCACACGGTCTTCGTTGAGATTTGGCTCCGAACGACGTGAGCGGACGTTTTTCTGAACATAACAGAGGTGACTTGTTTTCTCTACCTTGTGCCGTTTGAAGCTGCAGTCCAGCAGCGGCATCCCCAACTTCAGGAAGGTCTCCAGAAAAAGTCGTCCGTACTAGTGACAACAAGTGTGTGACAAACCCGTTAGCACAAGTCACAGCTGGACAGGAACAGTTTTTAGCTAAGTCAGATCCAGCTCACCTTTAAGCACACGTTAAGTACTGGCCTGGAGTCAAACACCTGCAAAAAGGTGACACAAATCCACTATTTTATTATTTCTTCACTCCAAAGTGTAGATTATAATCTGAGCCAAAGACTGAAAACAAACAGAGTGGGTTGCTGGTCATTTACAGCTTCATGGGAGTAACAGGTGGCGTGTACCTTCACTAGGTTGACCAGGACGTGAAAGTCTCTGACTGCCAAGTTCCACGTCAGCAGCTTCTCTACCTGAGTCTGCAAACAGGCAGATTCTGGTTTTAGTCATGAATCATTGATGGAAACTCCAAACAGAAGGAAATAAAGAGCGTCAGACCTCCGAGTCGTCGCTCGTTTTGACAGCAGGAATCTTTCTGGCTGATTTGTCCAACTCCGCCATCAAGACTTTGTAGAACACCAGGAACGTCTGCCTGCAGAGAGGTCAACGATACGACCACACCAGCTGTCATTGCAAAGGCTAAAGCATGACGACGGATCAGGGATTCCTGCTGGACACACCTGTGCAGAGTGGGCCAGGATGCAGAGCTCCCCTCTTTGGATGCACTGAGCAGCTCCGGGATCGCCGTTCCAGTGATCTGCTCCAATGCCATCAGGACGTCGTCCGCGTGCTCCAGGTAGATGCTGGAGAAGGGGACAACAGTTAGCCACACAGTCAAAAACGTAATAAACAAGAGTGGGTACAGCTCTATACCTGAGGAGAGCGTGGAGGGCTTCGTTGAATTTGTTGCCTCGCTCCCTCTCACCGGTAGCCGTCACCCAGATCTGGGTCAGGAAACCATGAGCAAGAGAAGCTGTGAGGGGGAAAAAACAATCATCTTCATTTCATCCACCAGGATGTTTGATTAAAGGATCTAAAAGAGGTTAGCCTCTGACCCATCTGCTGTCTGTAAGCAGCAGGATCGCCCCCTCTCTCCGACACCGTGGACAGAAGCTGGGAGAGACACAGAGCCGTGCTGAGGCTCGGCATGGTGCTGCGAAAGTTCAGCAGGTACTTAAAACCGTGTCTGAGGAAAAAAAGGTGCAATGGTAAATGGCCTGTATTTGATATAGCGCCTTCTAGAGTCCTGGAACCCCCCAAGGCGCTTTACAACACAATCAGTCATTCACCCATTCACACACACATTCACACACTGGTGGGGATGAGCTACGATGTAGCCACAGCTGCCCTGGGGCGCACTGACAGAGGTGAGGCTGCCGAGCACTGGCGCCACCGGTCCCTCCAACAACCACCAGCAGGCAACGTGGGTTAAGTGTCTTGCCCAAGGACACAACGACAGCGACAGACTGAGCGGGGCTCGAACCTGCAACCTTCCGATTACGGGGCGAGCACTTAACTCCTGTGCCACCGTCGCCCCACAATAACACAAATCAAAACGACAGATTTCAGTTTAAACCAATGTTGAGGGTCTGACCTCATGAGGAAATTACTATGCAGTGATTTTCTCCAAAATGACTGTGCTTAAATTGCTCTGAAAAGCAAATAACCACATCAGCGCCAAGAAACTTCATTTCCCATGATGCTTTGCACACGGAAGCATTGGGATGATGTCACCGCCTAGTACCAGAAACACGTTCTGCGCATGTGCGGGAAGCCGTGGAGCTTTCCCCGCGAACTAAGACCATAAATCTTCAGCAGAGACAAAGAAACCTCGTTCTTTTGCCCAGGATACCTGGCGGTGAGGACACGCTTGTCGAACGCTCCGACTTCTTTGAGCACGCGGAAGCTCTAAGAGCCAAGTTGAGCCCACGGGACCGCTGATCTGCTCGTTTCTGCTCCCCTCCAGCTGATGTTTGAGGACACAGAACCAGCGAAGGGAAACAACAACTCCATCCAGCTCTCAGAAACGCTGTAAGTTGTCAAACTCAGCCCAAAAGGAACTTCGTTTTCTTTGTGTCCAGCCGTGGAGAAACACTCGTGGAGCCAAACAACGGAGAAAGCATCAAACCGGCGGATGACGCTGAAAACTGCGGAGAAACACGGAGAACCGTCAAATCAAAAGGGGGAGGGACGCCTCGCTCTTTTGGTGATCAGAAAACTCATTTTTCTCTCATTCTTTTCTTCTCCCGTTTCCTCTATAGTCCAGAATAAGCAATAAAACCGCGCTATTGCTTAAAAAGTAGCTTCGTGCTTTCCTCTTTCGTCCCAAACACGCCAGTCGGGTCATTTTGAAAGAATAAACTGCTTATTGATCATTGTTTGGTATCTTTAAATGTTTTCTGCTTGGCCACGTGGTTAAACTAAAAGATATTAATTTGTGATTAATCTTTTGTGTTGTTTCATGATCTTTTGAAATGTTTTGAGTGATTTAAGGTTAAGTTACTACTGATTCTAAGTGCTTTGGAAGTTAAAGTGCAAGTTGCCACCCACACTTTAGCCAGACAAAGGGGTCAGCCATCTTGTATTCAAGACTCCATTTTGAATCCATACACACGCACACACACACACACACACACACTACTCCTTTGTGAGAACAAAGGACCCCATTCATACATCCTCCATCACATGCAAACACATCCATCTTCAATCATATCACACGGTTATTATTCATCTATTCCACTGTTTATTCATTTGACAAATTGTTAATTAAATGTTATAAAATTCAGATTTTTGTGTCCAGTAGCTTTGTTGTGTCGAAGAGAAGTCTCTGCTCCAAGGATTCTACGAACTTCAAGAAAGACTGATAAGAGTTTTGGATTCAATTTTTCCCCGGAAAAAGGGGAATGGTGCCCCGTATATCTAAGAATATCTTAATTAATTAATAAATCAGTAAATATTCCCATATTTACAGAATTTATTGAAGAATCCAAAAGTAAGTTGAAGCTTACTAATTGTTCGCTCCTAATAACCCCAACATTTTATTGGTGCCCCGTGTGAGGCTTGGATACACAGAGATTTCTATCCGGCACAAACAAACAAATAAATCCAAAGAGCTTGAATTAAAAATAATCCGTTGTTCAGCCTTGAACCAGCAACAGAGTGGTGCTGATTTCGCTGAGCAGGAAGCTGCATCGAACTCTCACCAGTAACTCAGTGCTTCTTTAAAGGTGCAACGTGTAAATTAATTCTGGTTGACCTTTTAGGTTAAAAATTCAGTTTTTCCTTAAAGGTGCAACGTGTAATTAATTCTGGCTAACCTTTTAGGTTAAAATTCAGTTTTCCTTAAAGGTGCAACGTGTAATTAATTCTGGCTAACCTTTTAGGTTAAAATTCAGTTCCTCATTAAAGGTGCAGCGTGTAAGTAATTCTGACTAACCCTTTTAGGCTAAAATTAACTGCTAATTTAGCGACTTTAACTCACAGTGGCTATTATAACTAACTGAAACCTTCACTCAAAGACTGATAACACCCTGTTTGCTAATATTCTGAAGGAATAACTAGCATATTTAACACTGTAAGTGTTGTAAGACGTTGCTACGGCAACGCACCAGCTTTTGCTAAAATACTGAAAGGAATAGTATTTTAAGCGTCAGTCACGGAATTCCGTGCAATCTTAAAACGCTAAAACCTGTGCGCACAAAGGTTAATTTAGTGTTTTTCTGCTACAAAGCTAGCAGTTGCTGCCAAAAAGGTGCAGCTTGAGCTATCTGCAGAAGCTCTACTAGGCTATTTTTGGTTCGGTTGTTAAAATGGAGGGACAGAGTAGTGAACTGACCAACTCCCAGCAACCAGGTGGCGCTGCGGCCCACGACTATGAACCTGGCCTACTTTCTGGACAAATATTGTCCAAACTGGTCGCGGTTGCTCGAGAACCCGACTACCCTTCTAGGGATTTCACTGAAGAACAGCGTAGCGTCGAGCTAGAAGCTGTAATCGATCAAATAGAAAACCCGGATGGTACAAAACCAATCCAGGTTCACTTAGCTAAGTTAGCCCTGATCCTCTATCAGAGAGAACTCCAACATGATCGAGAGATCATGAAGCTCCAGAGCATGCTAGCTGAAAGGCAGCAACATGGAAGGCAGAAGGATGACGAGGAGGAAGACAGCACCGATTCTGGGGAAGATGGGGAGAAGACCCCGCCCCCTTCTGCTGATGACAACAGACAGTGGGAAGGGGGGAAACACCATGACTCTCTGGACGGACGCACGCCGCAGGGGAGAGATGAAGTTCATCTGTCCCAACCTTCGGCCCCGTTCCCTACACACACTCTAGGGCATTCAGGACCATCTAGGGGCCGAGGGCAATTCGCCCTCGAACCCCAGGTTGGACCACCACCCTCATCTTCACGGCCTTCTCAATCAGTGAGAAGTCGACCAGCTGAGCGGCACCTCTATTTAGACCGCTCCCCCAGTCCACAAAGGGTGCAAGGTGCCGATTGGGGTTATGCACAAGCCCAAGCTGCACCTCAACCATCCACCCATCCTAGCTACTCCGGTATTCGGCATGCCGATAACCAGCTGCATGACCAAGCATCATACGCCAGTCCGTACCCGGACAGAGCGTATTACGCAGAAGCCCCAGTTGAAAGACGCAGGCTGCACTACGCAGACGTGCCCCGGGAGGAGGACCTCCCAAGACACCCACGTGACGTGCCAGCAGCCCGCCACAACATGCCGAACCCTGATTTGGGCCCCAGGAGTCAACATTGGGAGCCCAGAGCACACCAGCGATATCCAGCGCCTTCTGAGACAGACCGTGGGTCAGAGTCAGAGGATGACGCGCCGTACCGTGAGTCAGGGCTCCGTGTACGTCAAATTGAATCGCTAGCTAAAGACATAGAACGCTTTGATCCTAACACCAATGAATCCAATGTCGACGATTATCTCAGGGAGATAGAACGTTGTCTGCTTGATCTTCCAGCACCCTCTTCAAGGGAAAAGCTCAAGCTAATTTGGAAAACCACATCTAGAACGGTGCATGGTTTCATGGAAACTCTACCACCTGACATTCGAGATCGGTACTCCTCGCTCTGCCGAGCGTTGAGAGATGAATACGCCACGTATGCAGACTCTGTGTCAGCTACAATGGGGGCCTTCTCCATCAAACACGGGAGGAACGAACCCCCCAGAGAGTATTATCGCCGACTCAAAAGTGCTTATTTCCAAGGTCGAAACGGCCCTGGGCTCGAGGAAGACCCTGCCTTCAGATCCCTGTTCATTCACAACCTGCACGAGTGTGTTCGTTCCGAAGTCTCAATGTATTGTCGGATGAAAAAACTGACAACTCAGGAGATTAGGAGATACGCTCAACAGGCTTGGGAAGCCGGCGGAAAGCCCCAAAAGCCTGACGCACATCACCGCGTCATGCACCTAGCTCCCGACGCCGAGCCGCGTTTGGAGCTCGAAGGCACAGAAGCTCCACCCACTAAGCCAAAATCTGCTAAACCTAGACCTGCTAAACCGCGAGAGCAGTCCCAATCTCCTCAACAGGGGAAGGGGGGTGCTGATTGGCTGCCTAGGTCTGGACAATCAGACAGGAAGTGGCCCAACCAAAACCAACGGCAAGCTGGTCGGAACAGTGGAAGGTTTAAGGAGCGCCGCCCACAGGTAGGTCCCGAACACAAGTCCGCAGGTGAGTACTTGACCAAAGCCGACCTCCAGGAGATGCTTCAGCAGTTCCTAGCTAAACAGAAGGAACAGCTGAGATCTGCAGATGAGACCCCTGCACCAAAGTCTTCTTCTAAGAAGCCAGACCCAGAGCCAACGTCCGCATGACTAGGCGTGGCTCAACCTCCCAGCGTGGCCAGGACCTACCTGATCAGCTGGGGGAACACTACTGGTAGATCACAGGAGTCTCCTGAAATCTACCCCCCAGAGAAACCAGATACTAAATTTCTGAAGTTCCTTGGTGACTTAACAAACCATGATCATGCTCGCCGTTTGTACTGTAGCACCAAGGTAGGTGGATGCATACAGGTTGATGCTCTGCTGGATACCGGCTCAGAAATCACCCTGATGTGCTCCACACTGTTCCATCGCGTGTCTGACACCATGCGGTCGCTCGGGAAACCAGTCCAGGTAGAACCCTGTGACCTGAAAATCACCAGCTACACCCAGACCCGGGAGTGTATCACTCACCGGGCGTGGCTGGACATCACCTTCCAAGACATGACTCTGGTTCACCCGTTTTATGTCTGCCAGCTAGACACTGAACCACTTCTCGTTGGTCAGGACCTGCTTGAACGTCTAGCTCCCCTCATCGACTGCCAGAAGGGTCAACTGTGGGCCCAGGTGGAAACACCTAAGCCCTGGAACCCGGATAGCAGCCGACCATCCTCCATTCTTGAAGTCAGCATAAGCGAGCAGCAAAACCCTTGTTCCAAGGTCATGCCCCTCCCTACGGCTCCCACAGACGATGTCCGCCTGCAAAGGCACGAAACCGCTCCTGGAACTCCTCTCTGCACACATTCATCTTTTCTCTGCTCGCTGAAGAACGTCAGCCTGCAGCCATATGCACCACACATAGTTGGTGGTCTTACCATCAACTGTACCCATATCTCAGATGCTCGCCTTGCTCTTTGGTCAGAGAAGTCAGCCATCAGCCAGCAGACGTTTGAACACCTGCGTCAGAAGGACCCCCTTCTGGTCAGTGTGACACGTAGCCATCGGCTCTTGTCACCTACTTGGCCGCAGAGGCTCCTGAAAGCGCCAGAGGTCTGCTCTCTGACTATCCAACTTGGAGCAAGACAGCTCACACATACATTCAGCATCATACCACAGCTTGATCCACCTGCACTCATTGGAGCAGATCTGCTGGTTCGACTAGGTGCCCAGCTGGACACATGCAATCAAGTCCTTTGGGCCCGAGCCACACCATCCTCTGAGCCTCGCTCAGAAGGCCCTGAACACTTGCTGTCCGGTCAGACCATTCCACAGGCCTGCCGTGCAGTGGTTGAGGCCAGCACGGTTCTGCCCCCACTGGTCAAAGGAGTGCCTGTTCGTCTGACCCTGATGAAGCATCAGAAGCTGCCAGGCACACAGTCCTTCTTCCAGCCATCACCACACTTCTTGGAGCTCAACTTAGCCGTCTGTGGCACGCCACTCTTGGAGCTGAACAATCGTTCTGCGTACTTGTTGGTCGAAAATCCGACCCGGAGTCCTATCCACATGCCGGCAGGAAAGCCCTTGGGCATGCTGATAGATAGCTCATTCCATGACTTCGAACTTTCAGTCCCCGTGATCGGACAACTTCCGTTGTTCTTGAACGACAGACAGGTTGGTGTAGACACATTCAGTACTTTCCCTTCACAAATGATTACCATCAAGCGGCATGAAGCCCTTCCTGAGGAACCCATTTGCAGTGCAACCTTAGATACTGACGGCGGTCAGTGTCTAACGGTTTTTGCAATAAATACTCAACCCTCTGAGTCACCGGTTGAAAGCCCGGAACACCAGAGACCCTCCTCCTCTGAACCTTATGACGGCTTCGAGGCCGAAGTCAGCCAGCAGCTTGACAAAGCGGATGCGCTGGAGTCAGAGGAGCAGAGAGCAGCGCTTAGAAGCCTGTTCTATGAGTTTCAGTCCATCTTATCCAGGGACTCCCTGGACTGTGGACTCACAAACCTGCACACGGTTCGCATTCCGACGAACCCGAATGCCCCTCCTACTTTTGTACGTCAGTACAAGATTCCCCTCGCTGCTTATGAGTCGATCCAAGAGATCCTCAATCAGCTGAAGGAGAAAAACATCATCAGAGAGTGTAACTCCACTTACAACTCTCCCATCTGGCCGGTTCTGAAACCGACTGGGAAATGGCGTCTCACCATAGACTATCGTGCACTGAACAAACAAGTACCTCTCTCCAGATGGCCTATGATCCATTTAGATCAAGAGCTAGCCAGAGTCAGAGATGCTCGTTTCTTCTCTACGGTTGACGTAGCCAACGGCTTCTGGACCATGAAGGTTGAGCCGGCGGACCAGTATAAACTAGCTTTCTCCTTTGGAAATCGCCAATATACTTGGAACCGCTGCCCCTTTGGCTACTCTAACTCACCTGCAGAGTTCAACATCTTCCTCCACAAAGCCATGTCAGATGCTGCTTCCAGAGGGAACCTCATATATGTCGATGACATCTTGATGAGGAGTCGAACCTTCGAGGAGCACCTGGCCGAACTCCGTCACGTGCTGCAACAGCTCGCTGATGCCGGAGCTAAATTGGCGATTCTCAAGGGACAGTGGTGTCGAACCAAAGTGGAGTATGTTGGACTGCTGGTTGGCCCTAATGGAGTCGAGCCCCAAGCGGGACGCATTAGAGCCATTCAGGACATCAAAGCCCCAGCTAATCTGACTGAACTCAGGAGCTTCCTCGGAGTCTGCAACTACTCCAGGCAGTTCATTGAGGAGTACGCTGAAACAGCGAGGCCCCTCACTGAGCTGCTTCGGAACGACACACCTTTCGTGTGGGACAGACCCCAAGAACTCTCCTTCCAGTTCCTAAAACAGAAGTTGGCGTCCGCACCCTGTCTGGCTTACCCAGACAAGGATAAAGAGTTCTACATAGAGGCGACTTTCTCCTCTCACTGCCTGAGCGCTGCTTTGAAGCAGAAACACGACCAGGACATGAGAGTTGTGGCATATGCCAGCAAGCCTCTGAGCAAGGTGGAACTCCAGTTCTCAGACTGTGAGAGAGCCCTCCTCTCTACAGTCTGGGCTGTCGAACACTTTCGTAGTTACATCGGTGGACAGAAAGTGATCATTGAAACGTGTCATCAGCCTGTCACCTTCCTAAACAGCCAGCGACTGCGCGAAGGAAGAGTGTCAAACAGCCGCATTGCGACGTGGATGATGGTGCTCCAAGGATACAACATTGAGGTCAAGTATGGTCAGAACACCAAGCTAGCGCTAGGACAAGGGCTAGCAGGCTGCCAGCACTGTGACTCTGACTCCGTCATGGGCCCCCTGGACACACCTGCCGCAGTCTACCCAACCGCATACAATCATCGCTACTTTGATGAGAATGTTTGCCAAGGGCTTCCGAAAGTTTACACTGATGGATGCTCCTACCTTCACGAAGGCCAGCTCCGTGCCGGGGTTGGAGTCGTTTGGGTGGACTGTGACACTAAGCAACCAAATCACTACCGGTTGGGCCAAAAGTCTAGTCAGTACGCCGAAATTGCTGCAGTGTTGATAACCCTCCAGCAGGCGGCAGCCTTGGACATCACTCAAATCGTCCTTTGCTCTGATTCAAACTACGCTAGACACAGCTTCATCTCTCACTTCCCCATGTGGAAGGAGAATCACATGAAAAACGCCAGGAACAGAGACGTGAAACACTCGGAGTTATTCCTAGCGTGTGATCTGCTCACCACTGAGAAAGGCATAATGGTCTACTGGAAAAAGGTCAAAGGTCACTCCAGGACCATAGGTCCGGAGAAAGATGGTAATGACGAAGCTGACCGCCTTGCTAAGCTCGGTGCTGACCAGGGAACCTGCTGGGAATTCAAAGACGAGTGGCTTCCACCCAAGGCCGTTCACGAGGTCTGCGCGATTACTCGTCGCCATGCTAGCCAGGCAGACGAACCTCGGACCGTTGAGGTACCCGTGTTTCTAGGCAGACAACCACATGACGCGGACCTAGTCACCATGCAGGAACAAGATCCTGACCTGAAGCTCATCCGCGAGCTTCTCCAAAAGGGCCCGATGTCTAAACAACCGTCACCACCTACTGGCGCAAGCCGAGATTTGGTAACCCTGCATCGTCAACTCGCGCACCTGAAACTACAAAACGATTTGTTAGTTTACATACGTGACGATCACAGCCCGCCGCGCTGGGTTGTTCCACTCGACCACAGAGGAGTGATGCTTGCCTACGCCCACGACACTCCGGTTGGAGGTCACCGCGGCGCAAACGCTACCCTCGCGTCACTGACAGAAGTAGCATATTGGCCATCGATGTCCAAGGACGTACACAGCTATGTCCAAGGCTGCCTCATCTGTGCCCAGTTTCAACCCTCCCAGCCGCTTGCTAGAGCACCACTGCAACGCAGGGGAATAACCTTCCCTTGGTCCCACCTGCAGATCGACTGGGTTGGACCGGTTCCCAAATCGGCAAGAGGAAACAAATATATGCTAACTGTAACTTGCAGTTTCACAAAGTGGGTGGAATGCCTTCCAGCGCCAAACGATACAGCCGTCACAACCGCTGTACTGCTGATTAACCACGTTTTCAGTCGATGGGGACTTCCACTCTGCATTGACTCTGACCGGGGAACTCACTTCACATCCAGTGTAATGACGTCCCTGTTTGAACTTCTGGGAGTGGAAGTGAGATTCCACCTCCCCTATCACCCACAGTCATCCGGACAGGTCGAACGGATGAACCGCACGGTCGTCTCTATGCTCAAAAAGTACGTCTGCTCCACTGGGAAGGACTGGGACGTCAAGCTCCCTCTGGTCCTGATGGCCATACGGTCCACTCCACAGCGATCCACGGGGGTTACGCCCTTTGAGATGATGACCGGCAGACTGATGACTCTACCACTGCACCTCCTGTATCACCCAGAGGATGTCAGTGTTGCCACTGCCTATACCGCTCATCAGTATGTGGCAGACTTGAAAACACACCTCAGAGCTACGTTTGCGCACGCTCAGAAGAAACTGGAGACCAACGTAGAAGGCGCTAAGGCCTACTACGACCAAAAGACAACCAGCCGCGAATACGAGGTGGGTGACAAAGTATTCTACTTTCGGTTCGCCCAACCGGCACGCAAAGCTAAGAAGTTCCTGCCCTGCTGGTCAGGACCATTTGAGATCGTGGCAAAACTCTCTCCAGTTGCATACAGGTTACGCATCACCAAAGCGAGACAGGAGCCTGTCTACAAATGGGTGCATGCAAACCAAATCAAACCCTACGTCAAACCGTCCCCGCGGGTACAGAGACCAGACTCCCCGCAGGAGGTAGACGTAGTCTCCACATAGTTTTATGCATGGAAATGGAAAGGGGGGGGGGAAGTGCACGTTTAACCCACTAACATGTACTAACCGACAAAGAACAAGACCCCCCCCCCCCCCTGCCGTTCTTTTCACTAACCACGAGTCTCTCCATTACAGGATGGAGTTCCTCTGGATCTTCTGCATCCTCTTTGGATCAACGGCAGCCACTCCATCAGCCATCATTAAACCGGGACCACCAACCGGGATGGTCCTCCAAGACAACCCCGGATTGTTGATCACACACTGCCGCATTCATACGCAACGTATCGTTGTCCGTTTGGACCCGTGGGACGTCTATCACAAACACGTGATACCGGCCCCTCCTCCTCACAAGTCCATTATTGGTACTGTTCAACATGCCAAGCGCACCACCGCTTACATGTTGGCACAACTTCAAAAATTTATAGTCACTGAAGATGACCTCGGAGAAAATAACCGCCCAAAAAGGTTTCTAGGTGGACTCATCGCTGCGGTGTCCGCGGTGGGTTCCCTCTTTTCAGTTGGACTTTCGGCGGCTAACACAATTAGTCTTAAGACTGTCCAGCGACACATTGCCGAACTCCAGGATGAGATGCCAGAGATCCAGGGGAACCTCCTCCTCCTAGACCGCAAACAGGAAGCTCTTACTAAAACCTTACAGGGTACTCTTGTAACGGTCAACCTACATTCTGCTCTGATTAATGAATCTCTACGTGCAATCAAGACTTTGTCTGACACCATACATCAGGATATTGTGTACACACGAGTGGTGAGAGATTTGATGCAGGACCTGCTCAGGGAAATTGGTTCTACTCTGGACAGCCTGGTTGAAGGTCGCATTCCTGCGTATTTGGTACCAATGGATCTGCTCAAAGATGTTTTGACTGCTGTTACTCCCTCCACTGTACACACTTCACAAATCCACCTAGCGTACAGCCTAGGCAGTGCAATTCCCATTCACGTTGATGCAGAAAAATTAGAACTCGGTTTCCTGTTAAATGTTCCCATAATTGAGACACCTCACATCTATAGGCTTAAGTCCATGCTAAACGTTGGTTTTTGGAAAGACGGTAAACATTTCCACCTTAAAACTCCGAGCTTCCTTGCTTACCAAGATGCTGATAGCAAACTCTATCTAACTCCTAACTTAGATTTATGCACAAAAACCAAAGATATTCACTGGGTGTGTCTTGGTAACCCATTTGTCCGAGACGTTGCCAATTATCAATGCGGCCTCAGGAGCGATGCGCCCCTGCAGAATTGCCAAGCTACGGTCACGTTAAAAGATGTTGACATGGATACCAGAGTGGAACGTGCAGGTGACAGATGGCTTATCAGCACCCCAGTAGACTCGGCCCTTGTAACTTATGACCAGCATAACGTTGCCACTGAGTTACAACTGCCGAACCAAACCTTTTTCCTCTCAGTTCCGCCAGGTGCAATTGTACACCTGGAAAAACTGGCACTCCATCACCTCAACCTCGAACAGCATGATTCGGAGATTGAGATCATGGACGCTTTCCAGGGTTATAACTTTACCATCGATTTAGAAATTGACCAACAATTACTGATTGAAGGAACCAAACTTGTTAAGTTCACACAAACCCCGCGTGAACTTACTTTGACGCCCATGAATAGATACCCAAGACGCTACATTGACACAGATTATACCACCTTAATCTGCACATTGGTCGCCCTGGGGATGGGATGGCTTATCACGGCCGTGATAGCTTATTCCGCCTACAGGCGTGTTAAGAAACTCCAAGATAAGATGCACTTGCTCACCTACGGTGTGCCTCGTGACCGCGTTCGGGGAGAATCCAAGCGTGAATGTACCACACCTGTCTAAAGGGGGTGAGCAACATTTACTTTATTATTTTGTGAACCTAAGAGTAGTTCTCACTTTAGTCTACCTCACATTTTTATCTGAGTGTTGCATTATGTCACATTCTTTATAAGCTACACACTGAATGTATGACCTAAGAATGTATTTTATGAGACCTCAAGGTTGCTATGAATTTTCTTGGATGTTATATGTTACATGTTTTTTTTTTTTGGGGTTTTCTGTATTTTTGTTTCTTACTTGGTCACATATTAACTAGTGGTTATGTGCCGGCCCAGCTCAGTCTGTCAATGACTCTGTCTGACGCACCAGCACATTGTAGTACCTCTTAGTTTTATGGTCCTTGTTTTAGCCCAAAGACTGTCCTGATCCACCCTTTGGACCAAAAAGGGGGGAATCTTGGGACCACATAGGTCAATGCGCGTTTGCGAACTATGGACCTCGTACATCACCGCGTGCTCCATAAACTGAACTGTATGGCCGGCGGTGAGATGCCTTTGTGTCCACTCGTGGAGTTAACCGCCCACCGACCTTCCTCCTTCTACACTACTACCTCTCGCATGGACGACATCATCATTGCGTACCACCTGCGTGAGTGGCTTCTTCTCGTTATGCGCGTTGGGGACTATCCCGTTTCCTATCCTCTTTGTGCCTGACAAAGACAAAGACCAAAGGCGCCAGGATCCAAGACAAAGACCAAAGACAAAGGCGTCCAAGGAGACCAACGTCCTAAGGGACAGACCCACCTGTGCTTCCGACAATCAAGTCGACCTACGTTCATGAGGAACAAACCCATCTGTGCTTCCGACGATCGAGCTTTGGGCGCGATCCCCGAAACCAAAAGGGGGAATGTTGAGGGTCTGACCTCATGAGGAAATTACTATGCAGTGATTTTCTCCAAAATGACTGTGCTTAAATTGCTCTGAAAAGCAAATAACCACATCAGCGCCAAGAAACTTCATTTCCCATGATGCTTTGCACACGGAAGCATTGGGATGATGTCACCGCCTAGTACCAGAAACACGTTCTGCGCATGTGCGGGAAGCCGTGGAGCTTTCCCCGCGAACTAAGACCATAAATCTTCAGCAGAGACAAAGAAACCTCGTTCTTTTGCCCAGGATACCTGGCGGTGAGGACACGCTTGTCGAACGCTCCGACTTCTTTGAGCACGCGGAAGCTCTAAGAGCCAAGTTGAGCCCACGGGACCGCTGATCTGCTCGTTTCTGCTCCCCTCCAGCTGATGTTTGAGGACACAGAACCAGCGAAGGGAAACAACAACTCCATCCAGCTCTCAGAAACGCTGTAAGTTGTCAAACTCAGCCCAAAAGGAACTTCGTTTTCTTTGTGTCCAGCCGTGGAGAAACACTCGTGGAGCCAAACAACGGAGAAAGCATCAAACCGGCGGATGACGCTGAAAACTGCGGAGAAACACGGAGAACCGTCAAATCAAAAGGGGGAGGGACGCCTCGCTCTTTTGGTGATCAGAAAACTCATTTTTCTCTCATTCTTTTCTTCTCCCGTTTCCTCTATAGTCCAGAATAAGCAATAAAACCGCGCTATTGCTTAAAAAGTAGCTTCGTGCTTTCCTCTTTCGTCCCAAACACGCCAGTCGGGTCATTTTGAAAGAATAAACTGCTTATTGATCATTGTTTGGTATCTTTAAATGTTTTCTGCTTGGCCACGTGGTTAAACTAAAAGATATTAATTTGTGATTAATCTTTTGTGTTGTTTCATGATCTTTTGAAATGTTTTGAGTGATTTAAGGTTAAGTTACTACTGATTCTAAGTGCTTTGGAAGTTAAAGTGCAAGTTGCCACCCACACTTTAGCCAGACAAAGGGGTCAGCCATCTTGTATTCAAGACTCCATTTTGAATCCATACACACGCACACACACACACACACACACACTACTCCTTTGTGAGAACAAAGGACCCCATTCATACATCCTCCATCACATGCAAACACATCCATCTTCAATCATATCACACGGTTATTATTCATCTATTCCACTGTTTATTCATTTGACAAATTGTTAATTAAATGTTATAAAATTCAGATTTTTGTGTCCAGTAGCTTTGTTGTGTCGAAGAGAAGTCTCTGCTCCAAGGATTCTACGAACTTCAAGAAAGACTGATAAGAGTTTTGGATTCAATTTTTCCCCGGAAAAAGGGGAATGGTGCCCCGTATATCTAAGAATATCTTAATTAATTAATAAATCAGTAAATATTCCCATATTTACAGAATTTATTGAAGAATCCAAAAGTAAGTTGAAGCTTACTAATTGTTCGCTCCTAATAACCCCAACACCATCAAACGTTCCAGGTAAACAGCAAGAGGAGCTGCTCTTACTGTTGAATTAAAGATGTGATAACTCGTTTTTTTTTGTTTGTTTGTTTTGTGCTTGAATCAAAAAGGCTGAATTCTTTAAAAATAGCAGATGTCTGAATCAGTTCTGATCCATAATGGGATCCATCACCCACGTCACTAGCTGCTCCAGGGTCAGCTCTGAGCCTCCTTCTTTGAGTCGCCCAGCTAAGACTCCCAGAGCCTTCTTCAGCAGGTTCCTGTGTCCTGGCTGGCTGAATCCAGACCTGACAGACACAGGAACGTGTAAACACATGCAGCAGTTAACAGAGACGTCCCAACAGGATGCAGGTGATCTGCACTCACCAGCTGAAGGTGGTGTTCAGGCCCTGCAGCAGCAGCTGATACCCCGCTGACATTAGCTGATGCTCCTGCAGGTCTGTAGCCGGCCCGTCCACAACACCGTTGTTTTCAGACTGCAGCATCTGAAAACACACCTGAGACTGTTGCAGACCTCAACAGGAATTAACCTTTCTAATAAACTCCAGTGACCTTCACCTGGAAATGGTTGTGACAGTTTTCCAGATGTGTGCAAAGAGCAGGTAACAGCTGCACACAATAGGAGGCAATGTCTCTGGAGCTCCACTGCTGGAGGTGGGAGAAGCCTAGACTTCTATCAGCCTTGGCCTGAATGAAAACATGTTGTTTATAGATCAGGTTAAAATGTGCACATTGTGTCTTTTTATCTTTATCTTCTCTCACTCTGCAGTGACCTGTTAGTGTTTAGTTTTCTGTACCTTGAGGAAAGGAGCTCTCCTAGCTGGACCAGCTGAGAGACTGAACTCCAGTTTGTGAAGCATATCCTCCAGGAGGAAGACAAGCTCACCAGGACCCAGCAGAACCTCCTCCCGCACCTTGGAAATTCCATAAATGATAAACTTCTGTCTGCGGTGTAATGAAACTAGCATGAATCCTCGTGTGTGTGTGTGTGTGTAATCCCACCTTGGTGTGGAGCTCTGAGTCCAGCAGCGAGCGCGACAGCAAACCACACTGCAGAACACTCAGCACCTCCACGTCCAGCTCTCTGAAGAACGACCTGTAGGCCACCAGACTCACACCTGGACGCGTCTCCTTTTCTTTTTCCTTCTCTGGCTGCTCCTTCGGAGGATTTTTGTTTATTTTAGGCACATTTAGAAGCTTTAGACAGAATGATCTGAGGGGTAGGTCCTACCTGCTGAGTTTCTTCTGCTTCGGCCGCCTCTGCAGGCTGAGAGTTCTCTTCTGTTGAATTCTTACCGGGAGCTTTCCTCTTCCTTCCAGCGCCATCTAAACAACGCACGAGTAAAACAATTAGCCATGATTAAACACGTTTAGGTGACAGATTTTTACATGTTCTTCTTTGGATTTTGTTACCTTTCTTTGTTTTATTCACAGCAGCAGTGAAGCCAGCAGCAACGCCATCTGTGGCTTCTCCATCAAAGTTACAGACAGGTGGGACGTAACCAGGTGTTCCTAAAGGTACACATTTAGTTAGGTTTGGCATTTAATGGTAAAAAAAAACAAAAAACAATCAATTATAGAGAGAAAGACAAACCTGCAAGAGCCCTCTCCAGTAGTGTCTGCAGATAAGTGATGTTCTGTAGGCGAGTCATCACTTTCATCTTCATCTCGGCTTCCTTCTGTTTGCAGAAAGTGTTTACGACCTGTAGAGAGATGCACCGCTGAATGACCTGATTCTAGCTGACAGAGGCGGATTCGCAGGAGCCTGCAGTTACCTCTCTGAACCAGTTGATGGTGTGAAAGAGCAGAGAACAGAGGAACTCCCTCTCAGCTTTAGACAGGCTCTCCAACTTCTCCACGACATCCATGTTTGTCAAAATCAAAGGGCATCCTGCCAGGGAGCGGAGTGTAAACACAGGTGCTTCAAGGTCAGGAGGAGCGTGCACACAGCACGCCATGATATTCTAGATCACTTTCTTTTCTGTGAGGTCATTGTTCTCTTTCCTATGAAACGGTCTAGAACTGATCATAGGGAGCAGGTTCTTTACACGTGTCAGAGTGAGCGTACACTCTCACCCCTCTAAAAGTGTAAATCTATAGGAAATGTCACTTTGTCTCACCCAAGAGGGCATCAATCTCCTCCAGGTCTCCCTGATGTCGCTTCTCCTCACAAAATCTCAGGAGACGGAAAAATGGAGATAAACACAGGGGAGACACTCGCCTGTTAAAACAATAACAAATGATCAGTGATACACACTCGAGCATCGGGGCAGAGTGGAGGTGTTGGGAGTGACGGAGCAGACCTTTGTGGCTTCTTGGTTTGAGTTTCACGCTCGCCCTTGTTTTGGGTTTCTTTGGCCAGCAGAGGGAGCAGGTTGACAGCGATACATCCCTGACTCTCCTCATCATCCAGGTTGTACATGGCACAGGCTGGAAACAGGAATGAGCTGAAACAAACAGACCAGAAAGACCAGTTTGAGTTTGAACCCGTCGTGTTCACAATCTTTGATCGAATCTGTGCGATTCCAATCGAGTTACAGACACATTTCTTCATGGAAACGAAGCAACCGACTAGAACACCAACCCGGGTATATCTGGCCCAAGGTCCACCACAAAGTCATCCTGGAAGTCATCCAGGACGCTTGTCCCGATCATTTCCTGTCCAAAGATAGAAAATAATGCTTCATCGTTACATCTGAAAAACAAGCACAAGTGTAACTAAAGCAGTTTAGGATGCATCACACACCTGAACCTGTGGATCCAGTGAAGAGCTGTAGATCAGGTTAGCTAGTTCATCGTAGTACAGAGCAGCAGCCTCAGGGGAGCTCTCGCTGCTCGACTTGACCAACTCCAGCAGGGCTGTGACCTGCAGCGGGCAGAAAGAGACAGCGGTAATCACGAAAGGCCACCGCGCGGAAACGTCGGGCTCAGACAGCCTGGTCAACTGTAGAGAAGATGTTCTTACATTTAATTAGAAACCATAGAATATGAAATATCACCTTAACCCTTTGATGCATGAATTATGAAATCTTCAGCCATGATTTTTTTAACAATTTTTTTCATTCATCTTTAGGTGTGAATGAAACAAATTTCAACAAATATTTTTTGTAAAATTTTATAATTTACAAATAATTTATTACAGGTCCACCTTAGTGGACCACGTGCATTCTGAACATGAAATATGTTGGCTTGACTTACTGAAGTCCAAATGGAGGGGCTCAAATACAATAAAGTCTTCAACAGCTGTGCTTAATAGCAAAAACAAATAAATAACAATTTTGAGTACCTGTCCACTGTAGTGACCATTATGCACCAAAGGGTTAATGGATCTTTGAGTAAATTTAACCAGAAGATCGGATCTTTTTATTGCAGGGATTAGATAACACTTCGTATCAACTCCAAGAAAGAGAGAGTCAGGTTTAAAAAGTTAAAAGATTTATTTCTAAACAATTTAAACAAGACTAACTTTAAACACTATGTGTATGCTGTAACTAAGGTGGAGTAAGACTGAGGATGGTCTTAGTTAAATTTAAATATTCTGCCTAAAACTGTCAGTGTTGTGCCGTTGTCAGGTAAAAACTCTGCACTGTATTTGAATTTAAATCTGCCACCGCTATTGGCTAAGAGGTATGCTATGATGTAAACTGGTACATTATGATGTCACAATGCTGTCGTGAGCCTGTGTGTGTGTATTTGTTAGCAGCGCCGCCCTCTCGGTCTGCCAGGCAACAGCATTTGTTGCATTTTTCAAACATGAAGTGAGAGTGGAGTTAGACTCTGGTAGGGGGTGACTTGCTCTTTAACAAAACTACATTCCAATATAAGTGATTATAGCTACTCTTCTATGATGAGAATCGTTGATGCGCGCATCTCGATGCATCGAACATTTCATTATTTTCCTCAGCTCTATCCTACACCTCCCTGCCATCAGGGGTGGGGGTGCACGCGGAGTTCGGGGGCCACAAAGAGAGGGCTCGCGGGCCGCCTACTCAGTACCGCTGGTTTAGACAGATTTGAATTCTACGTCAGAATCAGGGCTACAATTACTGATCCTGATTCTGAATTCAGAGATGCCGAGTTGTCTGACAAAAGGGACATAGCCCCCCAATAATCCCAACAGCTTACGAAAAGGCGTGACATGTGGAATGAGTCATTACTAACCAAAACCAAACTAAATCTCAAATCCATGTATTTATATGTATTGTATTACATTATATGCGCCGGGTCGAGCACATCTGTGGGAGAGAAAAAAACTGGTGTGTCCACAGGAACGTGACTGGGCACAGCTGGAGCGCAGCACTAATCAACCGGATGTTTACAAATATAGGAGGAGACGCAGGAGGACAGGTTCTTAAAGGAAGCAAGGAGCTGAGATGGATCAGACAAGAGTGTTGGACTGCCCTGAGGCGTGGAAGCTAGAAAACTGGAGAGCTGGCCTGACACAGGGTGTAAATAAAAGACCAGACTGTTGTGTGTGTGTGTGTGTGTGTGTGTGTGTGTGTGTGTGTGTGTGTGTGTGTGTGTGTGTGTGTGTGTGTGTGTGTGTGTGTGTGTGTGTGCGTGCGTGTGTGCGTGCGCGCACGCAACCCTTTGGTAGCTAAGATTGCTACAATATACTTTGACCCGAGTGCTCCAGCCTTCGTTGGTCCCAGCTGTTGAGCAACGGCACTCAACTGCAGTGTGCTTTTTTTACTTCTTCAAACAAAAAGGAACGTTTTACAACCACTTAAACGTCTGGTTAAAGGGTTTAGACCAGATTTCCAGATTTGTTTCTGTCCTGAGATGAAGGCAAATTTCAAATATTTTCTTTCTCCTTCAAGAAGATCAGATAAATACCTGTCTCAGAGTCTCCTGGGACAAGGAGCCAGCCTGTGATTCTTTCGCTTTCGGTCTGAAATGAAGATAAAGACATGGAGATAAAATGATCCCAAAGATCTGATGACTCTGATAAACATCTGTTACCTAAAGGCCGCCATGCTGCCGACAATCATCACAGCACCAATGATCCCTATCCGCTTGTATTTTGGCACGGTGCTGGAGAGCTGTTTACGGATCACTATGTGCATGTCGTCCTGCAGAAGGACGGAGCCAGAATGTCAGCTCAGTGGACCGAGGACTGAAACAGCAGACAAATAAAGTTTAGACGACCTGGATGTGAGATCCCTGCTGCTGCTGCCCGAATGCCAGTTTGCTCAGAAGGCTGAAGAGTTTTCGTATCTGCTGGGGCGTCAGGTTGTCCATGTAGTCCAAGATTCCCTGTGTGAAATGTCCAAACAAGTCAGGACGTTAACGCAAACACACGAGCAGCTGCAGCTTCTAGGCGACGTTTACCTTCACAAACACAGAATAAAGAGCCATCTCCGAGGGTTTCTCCAAAACCAGGCCACAGAGCAGGTCCAGAGCCATGTCCACCTCCCCACCCACACCGCTACACACATGGGTCACCAGAGAACCCACAACCTCCTACAGGACACAACAGGGTCAAAACCACCGCAACTTTTACAGGAAACATCAGGGTTAGAATACAAACAAACCCACTTGTTGACAGTACGAGTCAAAAGCGGTGAAGGAGTGGCGGTGCATGTGTCCACCAAACGGCACCACGCAGGGGTCTGGAGAGCGCAGCAAACTCTGAGCAAGAGCCAGGATGGAGGAGAAGTAGCCCCGCATCACCTGTGATGTCATAAACAAAAACAAAGCAGCACATCAGTGCCAGAAACGCTGACGGTGTTGTTGCTACAGCTTCACAGCTACCTGGGAGTAGTCCCTGAAGGTCCTCTGCAGCAAAGCCTCCTGGATGAGTCCAGTCCTCACTTTGAGCTTCAGGATCCTCTCCGCACCCCGTCGGCTCTGGTTGGAGTTGGTAGCGTGGAGGATGAAAAGCACCAGTAGATCTATAACCTGCCACGGACAAGCAAGTGCGCTTCAGCCTCGTCAACAAACAAGTAAACGTCAGGTTTGTTGTTGTTTAAGTGTCTATAAATAAAACCTTCGTCCTTCTGCAGGACGACATGCACATAGTGATCCGCTTCCTGACAGTGTTGCGGAAGGCGCTTTATAAATAAAGCTTTGATTGATTGATTGATTGATTGATTGATCAAACGAATAAATGAATGATAAATGACTCGCTCTTGTATGGCGCCTTTGAGCCTGAGGACTCCAAAGCGCTTTACACCACAGTGCATCACACACCCATTCACACACTGATGGTGATGAGTTACAATGTAGCCACAGCTGCCCTGGGGCGCACGGACAGAGGCGAGGCTGACGAGCACAGGCGCCACCGGTCCCTCCGACCACCACCAGCAGGCAGGGAGGGTTAAGTGTCTTGCCCAAGGACACAACAGCAGAATTCCTTGCTGGGAGCCGAGATTATACCTGCAACCTTCAGATTACTGAACAACCCGCTCGACCTCCAGAGCTACTGCGGCCCCGTGAATAAACAATGCTGCGTGTCAATTAACTTCGCTACTAGTAATCATAGCTTCATTTACCACACCAGAAGTTCCAGTTTGCATGAAGCACGTTAATAATTCAGTTGCTGTGCTTTAGACCATAAAGTTCTGTCAGATCATAATAAAAACTTGGAAATTTAATGGTTCACAATGTGAAGAAAAGAAAAAAAAATCAATTTTTGAATTGTTTGAATAGGATTGATGCTGCTTTTTAGTCATTTTTAAACAACCCGGAACTTGTTTATTTTCTAATTAACACGTTTTCATACGAAGAAACTAGTGATGCAACAGATCAAAAGCTCACGGTTCGGATCGTATCGCAGTTTGAGAGAAAGACAAATAACTTTGCTGTTTGTTTTTTCCGGCCACAGATTAAAACTCCAGCGCCACGCCTACGAGAGAGATCACAGTTACATCATAACTAGGGGTGCAACGATACACAAAATGGACGGTTCGGTTCGATTCGATACATTGGTGTCACGGTTCGATATTTTTTCGATACAAAAAAAATAGTATTCATGCCTTTTTTAATTTGTCATTCATTGAAATTTATTACAAATATTTGTTTTAACTCAAAAGAACAATTTTGTAAATTAAATGATGCTACAATAGCAAACTTATGTAACTAAGAAAATAATCTGTGGAAAACCAAAGTAGCTTTTTTTCTAAATAATAGCTATACTATAGCCATCCTCTGGGCTATATTCTCAGCAGCAATTAAACAAATAAGGTCCCTATAAAATGAACCAATCTTTTATGGAACTCCCCCTCACACTCATCTTCTGGAGTGCTGGCACTTAGCTGCATATACAACAAAAATAACTTAAATAAAAGTTTCACTTAAATACAAACCAAATACCATTTACTCAACTTCCATGTTTTTCTTCAGAAAAATGAGGATGTCAACATGTTCTGCTGACAGTACAGATCTGCTTGCTGTGACAATGTCACCTGCAGTGGAAAACACCCTCTCTCTTGGGACAGAGGTCCCTGGTACAACCAAGTAACACAGTGCCAACTTGGAAAGGTGAGGGCACAAGCTGTGGGCAGTGCTAAGTGGATCTGCGCTCGACAATGCGACCTCAGGCGGAGTAGTCGAACGCAGATCACCCAGATCCACTGATCTCATAGTCAGAAGAAAAATTGATTAAAAAAAATAAAAAATCCTGTATTGTTCGGTACATATGCGTATTGAACCGAAAGCTCCGTATTGAACGGTTCAATACGGGTACATGTATTGTTGCACCCCTAATCATAACCACAACAAACTCACCCTGTGGTCGTCCGCGCTCTCTATAACCTAAAACACAAACAAAAACAATTTCATCAGCCACAAAAGAGAAAACCAAACAACCCTCAAGGCCATGCAGAACATTAATAACAAAGAAATCAGCTCAGTTATAAACTAAATTATTACATTTCTACAAATACTCGAGGTTTGATAAGGACTTCCAATAAAAGCTGGAATTTTTGGTGTCAGAGAACCAAAGAAATCTGTCCAAGTATTAATTTTCATCAAAGTGTCAGCAAAGACTGAAAAAGGCTAAATAAAACAGCTTCAAAGAGAAAACTGCAGGTTCATTTTTATTTCATATAAAATCCTCTCCAAAATATACTATTTGAAAAGCTTATGGTGGGTATTTTGTTTTACAATACATAACGGTCCCTTATTTTAAGTAAAAAGTGGCTTTTTTGAGCAAAGCGTCTAAAAATGCTTTATTTATGTATTTATTTATATTTTAACCTCTGACGCAGCGAGGGGAGTTATAAGCTAGTCCTGCCTGAAGCTCAGTGTGGCCAGTAGGTGGTTTTTGGGTAGAGAGGTCGTGTTAACGAGTACAATGTGCGAGTTCACTAGTTTTGGATTATTTTAATTTTTCTATAAAATGATAAACTGTTGTTTACGGAGGCCATACAAACTCCAGCGGGTCCGGACATCGAGTCCACATTTCCAATAAGAGAATGAACGGCACCATCTTCCCATCCTGGTGCGTTTTGGCCAGCTGAAATCACGTCGTTTCTGGTGCGCCGGAGGATTACAATCCCAGTGATGTGATGGGAGTTCAACACGCCTCCCATCCTCCAGAGCCCCGTTACGGAGTTTTGATTAATACCTGTGGGCTCCTATAGCCCAGATCAGTGTCGGAGCCAGGTCAGGGAGGTCCGCGCTGAGCTCCAGGAGCTTTTAACAATCCCTAGCGGGCCGGGGAAGCTGGTTTCTGGGTCGGACCCAGGTCCGAACCACCTGCCCTGAATAGGATGACAGGCGTCTCTCCCTCTCTCTAAGGCGCTAAGCTACGCTACGTGAATGCATGTTAACGAGTATGAAACAGCTGACAAATGCTCATTATAGTTTATTATTGTCAAGAATCAATATGACCAATACTATTTTCTAATTGTCTGGCGCATGACAGTAATCTGTACAATATTGTGATGTCAGCACACAAGTTTGAGCTAGCTAGCTAGCTAGCTATCATCGTTCCCTCACCGAGACACCTCAAAGATGATTCCTAAAACCTAAATAATATATGTGTACATTTTTATTTAGAACGGGTTCCTGTTATGTTATGTTAACAGATAAAGAAAATGCTGAAGTTGTTTTGAGTAGGAGGGCGTTGTACTTTATAGACGCTCCCTAGAGCCTCCTCTCAGCAGAAAAGTGGGATTTGTTTCACAGAGAGACCAGCTGATTAAAACGATCTCTTGGGTTACTGAATCCATCACCACGGGTAGAGTCTGGAGTTCAATTTTTAAGTTATTTTATTTATCTGTGTGACCCTGCCAGACTCTATTACTTTTCTTTCCAAATAATGAGACCTAAACAGATCTTGTGCACGATTGTTACTATTTTATTTTCTCTAATTTAATGAGCAGGGGCCTCATTTATCAAGCTTGCTTACGCACAAAACAGGGTCGGAAAACTGCGTGAGAAACTTTCCACGAAAACTTTGGGATTTATGAAAGAAAACTTAGCGGAAAAATGTGCGCAACTTTAAGTTGACTAAGGACCTGGCTTACACACATGTTGGACATGGAGAGCACCTGCAGTGCTGCTTCTGAGAAGGATACAAATATGAAATCCTGCAGCATTATCACTTGTACTGCTTCGTTTTCACACAGAACAAGACCCCCACACCATAGACATAGAAATATACACACACACACACACACACACACAGCCTGAAGCACAGAATACGGAATGCAGAATATCAGCAGGGGGACAGATTGAGACAGAATGTCATGCATCTGTGACAGTGTGTGTCCTGTCACTGTGACCCGATTGATGATGTGCACTGGCTACTTGTACAGGGGAGATCTCTGTTTGGGTGACTGGTTAGCGCGCGTGACTTTCACCTGGGAGTCTGGGGATCGAATCCTGATTGGATCATTTTTTTTATATCCGCCACAGATCTCTCTGAAGAACTCAGCATTGACGGCTTCAGCAACGCTGTGCCTCTCCGTGGGTTTTCTCTTATTTGTTTAGCAAAAGTACTTCCTTTCATTTCTCTACCTCACCCACAGGTACCTGAATTTCTGCTTGTGAAATAGCGCTTCCTTGATCTGCGGTCGGGATCAAAATGCTGCAACAGCCGGCTTATGTATGCATGAGGTCCACAAGGCACTTTGCATTGACTGTTTATGGCAGTAAGTGGGTGTGGTGAGGGCGGGATGCGACTAAAAAGCAGCTGAGAAACTTTCTAGATAGTCTCCGATTTATGAAGCGGAGATTGCGTGCAGCTGTGCGTACTCCATGTTTGATAGATCACAAACCTACTTGGCGTAAGTACATTTTTTTTGCTGAGCTTAAGTACGGTTTTAGTAAGGATTCTACACAATGTTTGATAAATGAGACCCCTGATTATTTTGAATGTGTTTATTTTTCTACAAAACTACTATATTTTATCTTGCCAATAAAATCAAAAACAATGCCGTTGTTTTTAAATGTGCTTTAAAAATAAACCCAACAAGTGAAAACCAACCTTGAGCCATGCCTCAGAGATTGTTTTCTGGAAACGCACTGCTGACTTAATGCAGTCCAGGGTCAGAGTCACACTGTCTTGGCTGCTGCCACCTGCTGGTGTGGAAACATTCCTGGTTGACAATAAAAAAACAACAGATCTCATTAGGAACTTCTTTGCATTTTCCAAACAAACGTGTTGGGATGGAGTCAGCTGGCACGTACGCTGCTCCTGCTCCTTTGCTCTTGATGCGAATCTGAGAAGCCTGCAGCACAGGAGGCAGAACACACTGCTCCAGCTCCAGCTTCTTACGGAGATTACACACCACCTGCAGGAAAATGTTGGCCAAATTTCTTTCAAAAGGAGGATCTACATGAATGACACATGCCATAAATAACAACAAATCTGACCTCGTTAGCGTCAGAGGCTGAGACAGTGTGCAGAATGAACTTGACCACAACAGGAAGGTCCTCCAGTTGAACGGCAGCAAGCATGGCCATGACAGCTTCCCGTACCTGAAACATCAGACACCAGTGGGTCACTGTGACCCGTATGTAAACGCACGTGTTTGTGTGACAACACCGCACCTTCATGAGTAAAGATGAAGAGAGACTGAGGCTGGAGAGGGAGTCCAGGATGGGGACAGTCAGCTGGGTGTTCTCCTGAAGTAAAGCGCTGCAGAGAGTAACCAGAAAAACTTTAGGATCAGACTGATTTATAGAGCGAAACCAGGCTTTATGTTACAGACTTGAGCTGTCTGGCGATATCGTTGTGCTGGGAGTCCTCCAGTATCTCTGGTAAACTGGTAATGATGTCACGCTGCACCTCCACTGGTGCTACCGACACCAGTTCCATCAGTTTCACCGACAGTTCCTGTAAAGGGAGGGGAAAATACACAAAAGCATTCCCATTCAGAGGTAAATACAGGACAAAAGATACTTCATATCCTTAACAGGTACAAAAAATTCAAACGTGACAAATAGAAATATTACCTTTGCATCCACAACTCTGTCGAGCCATTTGAGCTGGTTAATAATCATGTGTGGGATACTGAGTCCTCCTTCAGCGGCACTATGAAGCCCGCAGTAGATTTAACACAGAAAATCAGTTAGAAGAGAAACTAGAAAAACGTTTAGCGATTGTTAAAAATCATACTAACCCGTCAGACATAAACTCAGGGAGTTTCTCAAGTAAAGTGTTAATGATTAACGTCTGCAACGAAACAGAAGTGATCATTTATAGCAGTGTTTGTTTTGGTGACTCTTAGGGGTAAGACTTTGGGTTTTTACGGGAAGATGAATCAGACCTGCAGCATCTCAATGCCCAGCAACATTCTCAGCAGGCTTTCCTGGAACGAACTGACAGAACTGCAGCTGAGAGAAAACAAGCCATGTGAAATTCAGGGCAAACCAAAACTCAGTTGAATGTAACCTGGGTGTGATCCCTACCTGGAGTCTCCATTGGACAAATGTGGAACACAAGGCAGGAGGCAGCTCCTAAATCGGTCAGGATTCTCTATATAAGCCTCTAGTCCAGTGATGAACTCCTGTAAAACCTAAGAAACAACAGGGAGAATACATCTGAGCCAGAACATCTAGAAAATTTTGATTATTTCAGCGTGGAGCTCCACGTAAATACGTGGTTTCATACTCACACCAGGATACCTGGGACTCTTCTGTAGCTGCCGCTGTATCCGCTTCTGGAAAACCACCTGGTCCACAGCTGGAGGAGGGAAATGCAGATGAGCGTCTGACTTTAATTACAAAGTAAATATGCTGCTGGAAGGTTGATTTACCAATTCCGTTAGAGGAATCGTCTGTTTTCAGGGTGACACCTGCCTCTCTCACAAACGCAACAAACACACTCTGATTAGTCTCCTCAGAAACGGCCTCTTTAGGCAGGCGAGCAGAGCTGCGACTCTTCTTTGCCTCTAAAAGGAAAAAGAAAATGCCACTTGCGAATAAAAGATGCGCAATTTTACGAGTCAGAAGGAAATATGTGCATAAACAGCACGCTTGAGTAGAGGACGTGTCAGTAATGGAAATTCTTACTGTCAACGTTAAATGTAAAGTTAAACTCTAAACTTTGTGATTTATAAAGATTTGCTTGAGAAATGAGAGCTGCTGTGATGCTGCGTTGGACTTACTGGAGGCTACAGAAGTTCCCTCGACTTTTTCAACAGAAGAGCGTCGCTTTTTGCGCATCATCTAGTAAAACAAGAACAGACTAGCGTTAAAGCTACATGGTAGCACCGTCTGTGACACCAAAACATGCTAGCTAACAACGACGTAACATATCCATTACGGCTGTATCACAAATATCGGCTCCACGTGTAGGTTTATGCCGACGTGCTGCTATTAGCTGTCAGAATCATTGGGAAAATTCAGGATATTAAAAATAAAACATACTTTTCCAACCAGTCGAACCCAGAGATGACCAAGTCACAAAACAAACTCTCGCGCCAATGTGCTCAGAGCATGCGTTGCCAACGTCACTCTTAGCCCCGCCTCCTCACGTCGTTCAGCAAGAAGAAAAGCTGTGTTCAAGCCATTAAATGTAATGCTTCTGATTTACAAATGCGTCATTATAATTTACTTTCAACTAAACTATATACAATTTCGTTGCAAAAGGCGTTAAAAATCTATGATAGACTTGATTAACTTGATTATTCAGCGCGCGAGCTGGGGTTACAAAGAGGGTGTTGTGTCAAGATAGAAATATCTCCGTTTCGTCTGATGTCCCGTGTACACGTGCTTAAAAAAACTTTCAAAATAAATACGTAAATCTGAAATCTGAATCTGAAATCATAATTATGAGATACTATCTCATAATTATGACTTAGCTATCTCATTATTATGAGATACTATCTCGTTATTATGAGATAGTATATTGTAATTATGAGATACTATCTCATTATTATGACTTAGCATCTCATAATTATGAGATAGCTAAGTCATAATAATGAGATACTAAGTCATAATTATGAGATACTAAGTCATAACAATGAGATAGTATCTCATAATAATGAGACAGTATCTCATTATTATGAGATAGCTAAAACATAATTATGAGATAATATTTTTTTTTTATCTGAGTGGCGGGAATGGGCTTCCATAGGTGTAGTACTCTAGGTTTTTCCTTTATTTTTTCAGTTCCTTTAATCAATATAAAATGCAATAGTGGAATATGAATGTACTTTACGTTCTAGTGTGCAGATGTTTATGTGAATTACACTAATAAAAAATGAACATTGGAACACGCTTTGGCAGTTCCTGATGACGTATCTCCTTGGCAAACAGAGAAGGATCAAGACATCAAGGCGAGATTCCTTGGCATTGAGAAACCCCCTGAGTGACTACGTCCTTCTTCTTCTTTTACCATTTTATATAAGTTGTGTGACCATGTTAATCATAATGGCCTCATATGTTAATTACATTTTCTTGGGCGCAATGATTTGTTGTCGTTAGGATGAGGAGAACTATCTTGAAAACTGGGTCTTCGATTGTTAGTCGTGAACTATCTTGACAGCAAAACACAATCTTTGTCAGAATAAAGCTGAATGAGCACCAGAAGGCAGCGCAGATGCGGAGAGTTTCAGCAGAGATCTTCATCCTCGTCGGAGAAAAGCACCAGAATGGCTTCAGAGTTTTACAGCCTCACAGCCAAGCTGTTGAACGGAGAGGTGTTTCACTTCTCGTCTCTTCAGGGCAACGTTGTCCTGATTGAGAATGTTGCATCTCTCTGAGGTGTGACCGTCAGGGAATACACCCAGATGAACGAGCTCCACGAGAAGTACTCTGCTCAGGGGCTTGTGATCCTGGGAGTGCCCTGCAACCAGTTCGGCTATCAGGTGAGCTACAAATACCTGTAAGAAGGATGTAATGGTTGTTTTAAGTTCAAACATTCCTCATAAATGTACTTTGGGGCCCAAAGTATAATTGTTTGGGAGCAGATTATTTGTGGTAACAGCAAATGATGTTGGGACAGATAGCAAGTGTTTGATGAAGGACCTGCAAGATGTTCTCTTAAAAATGAGGAAGTCTTTTTGTTTCCTTCCTTATTTAGATAAGAGCAAATCCAATGACGCACACCGCCTCTGAGTATGTGTTAATGATCCATCTCCACAGGAGAACAGCGAGAATGAAGAAATCCTGCTGTCTCTGAAGTACGTCCGTCCTGGAAATGGCTTTGCGCCAAAGTTCCAGCTCCTGGAGAAGGTGAATGTGAATGGGAAGGGCGCCGATCCCCTGTTTGTGTTCCTGAAGGAGCAGCTTCCAGCCCCCAGTGACGACCCTTCACCCCTGATGAATGACCCCAAGTACATCATCTGGAGCCCGGTGAGCAGGAGCGACGTGTCCTGGAACTTTGAGAAGTTCCTCATCGGTCAGGACGGGGTGCCTTTCAAGCGTTACAGCAGGAAGTTCCCCACCATTGATATCGAAGGAGACATCAAGAAGCTCCTCAACCAGGCCAAGTAGCCGGGAGTCCTCTGGCTGCAGATCAGCATCCCTCTGTATACCAAACACACCCTGTGCTCTCTTGTGTGTGATGGCTGTGTTGTGGTTTTTACTAAATGAAGACATCCTCTGAAACCGAGCTGTGAGGAGGATGTCTGAAGAAATGTAAAAGGTGCAACCGTCACAGCTCCATCACGTGTCCGTACAGCACTGTTGTTGTGGTGTGTGGATCAATAAACATGTTTTTAATCAAACCCGCCTCTTTGCTTTTATTCTCTGGGAGGAGTTTAGATTATTATCAGCCGGAGCACAGCTTCAGCATCAGGTCCATCTCTGCAGGCTCAGCCCTAGTTAGCAATGCAAAAGGACCATCCTGGTTGTGTTTGCACCGATGGGTCTACATTCACACCCTGCAGCATTAGGATAAGGAAACTCATGCTAATCCCACATGTAAATGTGCAGTTTGATTATGGGGAGCTGCGGTGACTTTAGGTAAACAACTCTGGTGAAAATCCCACCAGATTTAACAGAAACATCAAGGTTTAAACAAGCTACAGAAGACTGATAGATCTAATATTTAATGGATTTTAAACATCAACAGTTTAGGTTTTGGGACTTTCCATTTTTTTAAAGGTCAAACTCCAATTTAGGAACAATTGAAATGTTGAATTATGCAAGCAGCTTTTGTATTTTGTGCCGCTATGTCCGCCTATAGACCATAAAGGCATAGTCTTGATCTCAAAGCTCAAACCCACAGGATTTTTTATAAAACACAGAAGAAACATAAATCTAGCCAATGTGAGCAGCTGAGGCTTCTCCCATTTATACTTTTTGTTATTACTGCAGATAAACTTGATCCCCATAGAACAGTTAGAAACAGGTCTCTGGTTTGTGTCTCCTCTGCAGATCTGTCTCAAGCTGCACCTTCTAGAGCTGATAAAGAATGGGATTGCAGTTCAAGTCTGGTGCTTCTGTAAGATCTACAGCTTCAGTATCAAGTTCAGGAGCATAAAGATCTTCAAGATAAAGGTTCAACTTCCTCTCAAAATTAAAATTACATTTCATTCACAAAAAACTGCAAACTTCAATTCAAATTCTAATTCAAAAATATTTTATTAATCCCAGAGGGAAATTGATTGCTGTAGTAGCTCAGAATAATAATAATAATCCGGTCATCAAAGAGTTGTTGTATATTACAACGGCTGTTGGCAGGAAGGATCTCCAGTAGCGGTCAGTGTTGCAGCCAAACTGAAGAAGCCTCTGACTGAAGACACTCTTCCGTTGTCGGACAGTCTTGTGAAGAGAATGCTCAGGGTTGTCCATCATTTTCTTGATTCTCTGGAGAATCCTTCTTTGCATTATCTCCTCCAGTGGTTCCACAGTCGTCCCCAGAACAGAACCAGCCTTTGTTATTAGGCTGTTGAGCCTTTTCAGGTCCCTGCTTCTGATGCTGCTACCCTAACAGACGATGGATGAAGAGATTACACTCTCAACAACAGACTTGTAGAAGAGCAGCATCTTGCTACAGACATTGAAGGACCTAAATGTCCTCAAGAAGTGCAGTCTGCTGTGTCCCTTCTTGTAAATGGCTTCAATGTTCTTTCTCCAGTCCAGTCTGTTGTCCAGGTGAACTCCAAGGTATTTGTATTCCTCAACCACCTCCACTTCTTCTCCCATGATGGAAACCGTGTTTGACTCCATCCTGTTTCTTCTGAAGTCTAAAATCATCTCCTTTGTTTTGTTCACATTCAAGGTCAGATGATTGTTTCCACACCATGCCACAAAGCGCTCCACCAGCTCTCTGTACTCAGCTTCCTGTCCGTCTCTGATACACCCGACAACTGCTGAGTCATCTGAGTATTTCTGTAGATGACAGTTCTCTGATTTGTACTGGAAGTCTGAGGTGTACAGGGTGAAAAGGAATGGTGAGAGTACAGTCCCCTGTGGTGCTCCAATGTTACTGATCGCCGGGTTTGATGTGCAGTTCTTCAGCCTCACAAACTGTGGTCTGTTGGTCAGGTAGTCTTTAATCCAGGCGATAGTTGAGGCCCCCACCTGTGTCTTCTGGAGTTTCTGGCAAAGTACATCAGGCTGGATTGTGTTAAATGCTCTGGAGAAATCTTCACCTTGAACCGTCACCTTATCGTGGTGGAGGAGTTTGAGTGCCCTAATGATCCTAGGAGCTATGTTGTCTGGGGCACTTTGTGCCCCTGGTAGGGTCTCCCATGACAAATTGGTCTTAGGTGAAGGGTGAGACAAAAAACGGTTCACAGGATCTTTCATGGAGGTAAAGTCAAAGAGTCGGAGTACCCAGCCCGGAGGGTTACCGGGGTCCCACCCTGGAGCCAGGCCTGGGGTTGGGGCCCGTGAGCGAGCGCCTGGTGGCCGGGCTTTCGCCCATGGGACCCGGCCGGGCCCAGCCCAAACCGGATACATGGGCTCATCCAACTGTGGACCCACCACCCGCAGGAGGAACATGAAGGATCCGGTACAATGTGGATCGGGTGGCAGACCAAGGTGGGAGCCTTGGCAGTCCGATCCCCGAACAAGAAAACTGGTGTTTGGGACATGGAACGTCACCTCGCTGGTGGGGAAGGAGCAGGAGCTTGTGGCAGAGGTTGATCGGTACTGGCTAGATATAGTCGGACTCACCTCAACACAAAACTTACATATAGTCAACAGAGCTACTCCAACATGCAGCCACCCAGAGCAGCGCAGTTCCAGAATGAAATCTTGAGCAATGAATCAGAATCAAAATTGTGTTTTATTGCCAAGTGAGTCTCACATTAGTGGGAATTTGATTAGGTGGGATGGTGCAAACATACAAATGATAAATAAGATGCTTCAAAAAGGGATTATGAATGAAAGTGATGACAGCAGATCTGGTTTCAGTGGTTATTTGGTGTTCAGAAGTCCTACAGCACAGGGGTAGAAGCTGTTAATGCGGCGTTAGGTTCTGGCCCGAATGGACCTGGACCTCCTGTATAAAGGGAGTGGTTTAAACAGTGCATGACCAGGATGATAAGGGTCAGCTGCAATTCGACCTGCACATCTCCGAGCCCTTGAGGTGTGCAGATTGTGGATCAGTAGGCTACAGGAGATCCTGTAGTCTGTTTTCCCCTGGTACTGGCCCCAGCATACCACACCGTGATGGAGGAAGTGAGGGTGGACTCAATGATGGTCATAGAGAACTGGACCATCATCATGGTTGGCATTCTAAGTTTCCTCAGCTACAGCTGGTAGAACATCCTCTGCTAGGCCTTTTGGATGAGGGAGCTGATGGACAGCTCCCACTTGAAGTCACGGGGAATGGTGGTCCCAGGAAAGCAGGAGTTGTTCACGGGTGAGACGGGGGTGTCCGTCAGGGTTATGGGGGGAAATAGAGCCGACACACTCCTGAAGCCCATAATCATCTCCACCATCTTCTGGGTATTCAGCTCCAGGTTGTTGTTGCTGCACCAGGACGCCAGACGTCCCACCTCCCTCCTGTAGGCAGACTCGTCTGTCAGAGATGAGTCAGATGAGGGTGGTGCCATCTGTGAACTTAACCAGCTTCTGACTGGTGGCTGGAGGTGGAGAAGTTGGTGTAGAGAGAGAAGAGCAGAGGGGAGAGGACGCAGCTTATGGGGGTACAGATGCTATCGGTCCAAGTATCTGAGACATTCCTTCCTAGCCTCGTGTGCTGTCTCCAGTCTGTGATCCACTGGCAGACGGGGTCGAGCTCATTCAGCAGGGACAGCTTGTCCTGGAGAGCCGAGCTGAAATCCATAAACCGGATCCTAGCATATGTGACAGTGTGAGTGTCCTGTCACAGTGTCCCGATTGATCATGCGCCCTGGCTACTTGGCCAAGGGGTTGTCCCTTTGGCTGACTGGTTAGAGCGTATGACTCTCACCTGGGAGTCTGGGGATCGAATCCCGCCCGGGCCCTCGTTTCTCCACCTTGCCACACATAGGTTCTTGGGGAGTCCAGGTACTGCAGGATGAAGTGGAGAGCTAGGTTGATGGCATAATCTACAGATCTGTTGGCTCTGTAGGCAAACTGCTGGGTAGGGAGGCTGTGATGTTTCTGAGGTGGGACACAACCTGGCGCTGAAATGACCTCATGACTACAGGACCACAGGTCTAGTCCAGCGATCCTTGATACTTGAGATTAAAAAGGTCAACAAAAAACAGCTGATGCTCCTGGGCTTTATTGTGTTTTGGATTCAAATATTCATCATTTAGAAGCGAACATGATAAATATGTGGACAAGAATTTAAACACCTATTAAAATAACATTTACATCTTTTGGGTGACTTTTGAGTCTCAGATTCCTTATCAGGATTTTCCTTTTGCTGAAAGTGTTTCATTAATAATCTCACTGCAGAGATTAAATTTACTGCTGAAGGCCATCATGTCAGACCCCGCCACGCAGTTATGGTGCAACTGAGCAGGACTTAAGCTGGTTTCGATTAACCATCCTACATCATTTTGTTTCCATGTCACTGTGCTGTACCTGTAGATTTAAAGCCCAAACAGACTAAATAAGGAGATACCCTTTCCTTATGATACCAGACTTTATTACCCAACAGCTGAGATGTTTCAAACTGCCCACATTCGGCCACCCCGCCCCCTCTCACCTGCACGGACACGCCTTCATGGCCAGGAGCAAGTTCAAGTGTGACGAATAAAGCACCACTTTCATTCTAGTTTACTTTAGTTTCACTCGGCGTGCTTCGAAAATATCAAACAACAGCCATTTTCAATACAGAGCTGCATGACTGTACACAACTAATGAGAAGAAGCTATCGCAGGTGAGCTAGGAGGCTAATCAGGCAGCAACCAGTCTATCCTTATAAAGACGGTAAAATGATCCGTGTGTACGTGTGTGTGTGTGTGAGACGAGGCCTAAGCATCAACGCCACGGCCGCGACACACACCTGTGTCACGTCTAGTTACACTAGAAGCAGGTAGATCAGGAAGATTTGAAAGTGCCTCCTTTTTGTCAGGTTGCAGGAATAGAAAGGCCGCTTTTCTTTTCTTCTCCTCTTGTCTTTTTACCCCTTTGTGATTACAAAAATAAAAACGTTATCAGTGTAGAACTTTTCTTCATCAGGGGCACGATGAGCAGAACAACCAAGGCTGTGGATTTATGGGAAAACAAAAACCAGGCTGGACCGATGATGCAAATGTTAAGGATATTTCCTTCATGATAGCGGCGCTGGAGCAAAGCTGCAGCAGCTAACCTGAAGCAACACCACCTCCACAGCTCCACCCATAAACAGGCAGCTTGGAGGTGGAAGCGTTGATCATCCCGGGTACTCGTCTCCTGGTAGGTCTGCGTTTGCATAAGCAGAGCTACCGTATTAGCCGTTAGCTTAAACACAACTCCAGCATCTTGCTTGCTTATGCTCCATTTTTCCATAAATACCTCTGAATGCTTTGGTTGAAACAATACGAGCATTTGGCTTATTATTATTTAAATAATGCAGAATGTTCTCATGGGCAACAGAAACATTTGCTTATCTACACATTGGAGGGCACTTCTAACATTCTGTTCTTCCAGTGAGAGGACCTATATGCATCAGAATTCCTCCTGAATCCAAACCAGTAGCTATGAGCAGGACTCCGTCGGCCACCTGCTGTGGAGAGTTCACTCTTCAGACAAGGCTGTTGGCTCTGGCCAAAAAAACGACAACCAAAATCAAACCAAATAGAAGGGAAGCGGGTTTAAGTCTGTGGAATCCTTTGTCACAACAGAAGGATTGTGTGTGCGTATCCAGGTGTCCACCTGACATTTTCAGTGTGTGTTCACTAATTTGTGTCCATGTGGTCGTCGGCTGATTCGGGGGCGCCTCCCAGTGAGGCAGATGGTTGAGGTGTGGCGTGGCTCTCCTCGTCTCTGCGCTGATAAAACAGCACGTAGGCGGCTTTAGTCTGCAACAAGATGATAGGGTTAAGATTACACGTGTACGACAGGACACCCGACACCACAGACAGGAACGCCACCAGCACCGACATTCACGCCCAACAACAACAATTAAAGCGTCAAACTCACCACGATCTGGTCTTCTGAGGCAGACGAGACACTGCTGTCATCAAAGTAATACCACTTTTCCTCCACCTTGTTCTTCCCATAAGCCGTGTCTGTCTCACACAGAAAACACAACATCATCATTTATTCAGACAGACAGCGTGACCCGTTTAGCCTCCAAACAGACAAAAACAAACATCAGAATAAACGAGGTCGCTGCGGACCGTAGCGTTCCACCAACATTAGGTTTCCCAACTGAACTGAAAGTATAAAGTCAGAAAACTTACAGTGACCACCCCCCATTCCTCCATAGTGGTTAGAAACAGCAATAAGGTCATAGACGTAGGGGCCCGCCTTGGGGTCACACACAAACTCGGACATGTTTAGATCCCTGGCAAAGGAAAACACAAGGTTAGAAACACGGCCCAAATACTCAAACAGGTAGATTAAACCACTCCTGTGTGAGGTCATCTCTCTTTCTGCCTTTAATCAGTACGACTCAGATCTTCCGTCGCGTGTTTCTGCTTCCTCGTTTCCTGGAAACACAAGTTTCCAAACAGAAGTCAGCCTGTGGCTGGTGGTCATTAGGACACACGATCCTGAGGCAACTTCTCCGGGTTAAACAGAAGGAGGTCACATTGAAGCAGAGACTCGTGCTGATGGACATGGCTTCTTATCAAAACCATAAAAAGATATGAGGAACAAGAACAAAGCGTTTGTTCTTGTGTGAGCATTAAAGTTCTGAGCTAAGAAACCAGTTCACCTCTTGAAAGTGATGCTGGTGTTTACATTTTCAGATAAGACCAGTGATTTCAGGTCCCAGCTCCATCTAGAGCTAGAACTAAAGCTACAGCACTGGTGCTTGTTCTGGGCAACACTTAGGGAATTTCCCGGGTCTGGTTCTCAGACTAACACCAGGGCAAAGCGCACGGGCCGAGGCAGACTTTGGGGCCTGCCTCCAGGCACAAAGTGGGGGAGAGCGGGCCTCCCCGGGTCTGGTTCTCAGACAAATACCAGGCTGCTGGAGCTCATTCCCATAGCTTCAGGGGGCATAGCACCCCCCCCCAGTAGCCAACCAAAGTGCTCGACTCGGGCCATACTCTGACCCACGACCCAGCCCGAGAACCGCAACTGATGGTCATCCTTTTGAGCTCCAGGGGGGACGGCAGACCCTCCCTAGACCGACCAAAGTGCTTGACTTGGGTCATACTCTTCTGAGCTTAGGTCAGTAATAACATCCTGTTTTAGACATTTTAAACCTGGAAATGGGTGATAAATAAGGTGAATTTATCTTTTCCTTTGTTGACTTTAATTTTCTTTATGACTTTCTCATTCTTTGGACTGATGGAAAGAATTCCTGATGTCCTACCTGATGGGGAAGTCCACCAGGGTGTCCAGCTTGTCTCTCCAACATCGATTGTAGGAGAAACGCTTCAGGTGAACCACCAGGATGCGCGGCAGCGACCACAAGTCGAACTTCTTCGTGGCCTGTTGATGTTTCTTACACGTTGGACAATACCTGCATTAAAGTAAACAAGAAAGCATAAAAGGTTTCATTTTCATAGAAGGGCTGACCTATGTACAGTAACATTCACAAACATGACCGGAAATGACATCATACCATCTAAACATTAAAAGCTACTAGAGGCAAGAAACCTGCATGCAGAGCAGGGCTTAATTTGTGAAGAAGAGCCAGGGACTGTTTTATTCTGAAAGGACACGTTTCAGCAGTAACTGTCTGGAAGAACTCGTTAACGCTCTACGCTAATTAGTGTTTAAGGACGGTAAGCCAGGGCGTTACTCTGGCTGGGGACGTGTCCCCACCACTGCTGATTATTGAAAGCTTTTGTCCCTTACAGTTTTGGACTAACAGCTTTTAAATGATCAGCATCTGCTCCTCAGCGCTGAAATCCATTCTTTTTACCAACTCCATAGGTTTATATCAAACAGGAGAAAACTGGTCATTCATAGGGCCTCACTTGCAGTTTTTTTGTAATTAATCTGGCAGATTTTATCTGTCTTTATCTGAAAAGGCCTGGATGTGCTGCTGTGGTACTGAAGTAAGGCGCTTGTCTTGCACTCAGTGGCTTGTGAGATCGATCCCATCCTCCTACTCTTATTGTCCGGGACAGCACAGCTGTAGCAATGGTACATAAAGCCACGTGGTACGGAAACGCAAGCAAACAGCTGGCATAGAAGAACCATTATTTTTCCATCTTGTTTCCATTTGTTTATGTTTCAGAGGGTGTGTGTGTGTGTGTGTGTGTGGGGGGGGGGGTATTTATTTAGTCATGTGACAGTGATGGTAATCATCTCAGAAGGTCAAATGAGTGTGTACATTAGGACTGGACGATATTTCAATAGTTCATATATCTATCGATAGACAGGTGGTGCGATAGAAAAAAAATGGGTCGACAAAACTGATAAAATAGTTTCCTTCTTTCATTATAACCTATCAGGTAGCAGTATTCTAGTCTCCCTACTTACTCCTAACCAATCAGAACCTCAGACTCAGGCACGCCACTTCACCAGGCCCTCCCCTTCTCAAAGTGCGCTACCAACACTGTCTATAGTGGGGACGGTGTGCGGCTGACCTCTACTCAGGACGTTGTGGATCGGTGGGCAGAATACTTCCAAGACCTTCTCAATCCCACCAACACCTCGTCCAGTGACGACTGGGGACTTTGGGTTGGCCTCTCAAATCTCTGGTGCTGAGGTCACTGAGGTGGTTAAAAAGCTCCTCTGTGGCAAGGCTACAGGGGTGGATGAGATCCGCCAGGAGTTCCTTAAGGCTCTGGATGTTGTGGGGCTGTGTTGGCTGGCGCGGCTCTGTAATATCGCGTGGACATCGGGGGCTGTCCCACTGGACTGGCAGCCTGGGGTGGTGGTCCCCTTATTTTAAAAGGGGGACCGCAGGGTGTGTTCCAACTACAGGGGGATCACACTCCTGAGCCTTCCTGGTAAGGTCTATTCAGGGGTTCTGGAGAGATGGGTCCGTCGGATTGTTGAACCTCAGATTCAGGAGGAGCAATGTGGTTTTCGTCCTGGCCGTGGAACACTGGACCAGCTCTATACCCTTAGGGGGATCCTGGAGGGTGCGTGGGAATTTGCCCAACCAGTCTACACGTGTTTTGTGGATTTGGAAAAGGCGTTTGACTGTATCCCTGTGGGGGCCCTGTGGGGGGTACTCCGGGAGTATGGGGTACCAGGCCCTCTGATACGGGCTGTAAGGGCCCTGTATGACCGGTGTCAGAGCTTGGTCTGCACTGCCGGCAGTAAGTCGGGCTTGTTCCCAGTGAGAGTTGGACTCCGCCAAGGCTGCTCTTTGTAACAGATTCTGTTCATAACCTTTATGGACAGGATTTCTAGGCACAGCCAAGGTGTGGAGGGCATCCGTTTTGGTGGCCTGAGGATCAGGTCTCTACTTTTTGCAGATGTGGCCCTGTTGGCTTCATCAGAACATGATCTTCAGCTTTCGCTGGAGCGGTTCGTAGCCGAGTGTGAAGCAGCTGGGACGAGAATCAGCTCCTCTAAATCTGAGACCATGGTCTTGATTCGGAAAAGGGTAGAAGGCCTTCTCCGGGTCAGGGAGGAGGTCCTGCCACAAGTGGAGTCTAAGTATCTCAGGGTCTTGTTCACGAGTGAGGGAAAACTGTAGCGTGAGATTGATAGGCGGATTGGTGCTGCATCTGCAGTGATGCAGGCGTTGTACCGGTCTGTCGTGATGAAGAGAGAGCTGAGTCAGAAGGCGAAACTCTCGATTTACCGGTCGATCAACGATGCTACCCTCACCTATGGTCATGACCATTGGGTAGTGACCGAAAGAACGAGATCGCGGATACAAGCGGCCGAAATGAGTTTTCTCCAAAGAGTGGCTGGGCTCTCCCTTAGACAGGGTGAGAAGCTCTGTCATTCGGGAGGGGCTCGGAGTAGACCTGCTGCTCCTCCACATCGAGAGGAGCCAGTTGAGGTGGCTCGGGCATCTGGTCAGGATGCCTCCTGGACACCTCCCTGATGAGGTTTTCTGGGCACGTCCAACTGGGACGAGACCTAAAGGTAGACCCAAGACACAGTGGAGGGACTATGTCTCTCACCTGGCCAGGGAACGCCTTGGGATTCCCCCGGAGGAGCTGGCCCAAGTGGCTGGGGAGAGGGAAGTCTGGACCTCTTGCCTTAGGCTGCTGCCCCCGCGACCCGACTCCGGATAAGCGGATGAAAATGGATGGACGGATGGATAAAAAATTGTTATCGATATACCTTTTTTCTATACTGTCCAGCCCTAGTGTACATAATAATGTAAATTTAGCTTTGTTTTCATTCTATACAAAATCTGCTGATTTTAGAAGCATTAATGTCCGTATATTGGTATCAGCAAATATCGATTATCGGCCATAACAGTGATATTAATATCGGTATCGGCCCAGAATGTTCACATCAGTGCATGACTACTTAAAATGATCATCATCACATATTTCATGTAATATATTCTATTTGAATTCAACTTGAACAAGCTAACAGCAAAGGCTTAAAGACTATTTCTCGTTCCTCTCCAGTTACCAGCTTAACTCAGGCTCTTTGCACCTTCTGCAGTGGCTCTGAGTGACTTCAGCTAAAATTATTTTAAACCATCAACTAATTTTAATAATATAGAGGCCCACAATAAAAAAATAACGCAGGTTTAAGCAGCTTTTCAGAGTTTCCACTGAATATTTGCCCTGACTCTTCAAAACAGAATGATAATAAGAACACCAGTAATAGTTTAGATCTATTTATGTTTATTTTAATTTTCCACTAATCTCATTTAAAACATACCCATTCTCTTTTGCAAGTTTTGTATTAATTTCAAATCTCTTATAGAAGATATGTAGGGAAGATGTGCTCTAAAAGGGTTAAGCTTGTACGCATCTGAAACAACACAACTCTTAACATCTTTTTTTCTGTCAGAATCTTCTTTGGCTTTTGGTTTTAGCAGGAACCTCCAACCACTGCAAGATGTTGAATCAACAGTAGTGGAGCCGCGCTTCTGGCTACCACAGTGTATGTTTGCCAAGCTGTATCTGTGATTGGTCAAATGATGACTCGTGACCCACTAACAAAGATATTTGTGAAGAAGATAAACTCCCTTTTCTGAAATTGGCAGGGATGACCCGTTTGGATATCAATATCAGAAGTAATTCGATATCGGCCGAAAAATAGTGTATCGGATTATATCGGACTGCATCAAAAATCTTCTATATAAGCGGTCCGTTAATGTTCACATTTTTAAAACAAATGGTTAAATAAAATTGTCTTTTTTCACACTTACTGTTATTGGTTCATGTTCTCCAGTTGAGTAATATCACTTGATCAAGCCTTTCATACATTCCACACTACGAAATAGGTAAAGTACGTATTATTTGTGCTGATATATCGGATTGATATCGGTATCGGTCAATACCGAAGGCTGCAATATCTGTATCGTACCGGAAGTGAAAAAGTTGCATCGGGACATGCCTAGAAATTGGTTCTTATAAAGAGCGACTTCAACCCTACCAAAAACTCACCTTTCCTAAAAACTCTTTGATTCACGTGGAAGTCATATTTGGCTTCATGAACTATTTTCACAGAAAAAGTTTGCAAGTATGAGACAAACGTCATTTAAATTCGTGCCAATACTACCCAAATTTATGACTTTTTAAGGGTCTTAATTTTCCTTAAATCAAAATCAAGACTTTTAAGACTTTTCAAGACCTCGCGGACACCCTGCCTGTAAAGCAGGGGTATTCAGTTCTGGACCTGGCGGGCCGTTATCCAAAAAGCCTGATTCAATCAGCAGGTGATTAACAGGCTTCTGCAGAGTCTGATAAACTGCTGCTGCACAGGTGATTGGAGCAGAGAAGCCACTAAAACATGCTGGACATCGGCCCTCCAGGACTGGAATTGAACATCCCTGCTGTAAAGGGTCATTTTAGCACACACTGGCTCAAGGAAATTGTTAAAAATATATGAAAAAGATGCATAAATAATGCCTTTAATGTTTACATCAGGGAACTCAGAAGCACTAGTTACGGAGTCTGGCTGCTGTGTGTGTGTGTGTGTGTGTGGGGGGGGGGGGGGGGGGGGAGGGGGGGAGGGAATGTGTTTCATCATATGCAGATGTGTAAAACAGATCCTAGGTCAGTTAAGCCGGGCGTACACTGTGCGACTTTTTCACTTTTTTGAGCCGATTTTCCAGTCGTGCGAGAATCCACGACATCGGGGCGAGTTTTGCGCCGAGCGGTTGTGTAGTGTACAGGGGGTTACGAGAGGTGATTAACACCACGTGACCAGCCGCCGATCAGCAGTCGTGAGGTCGCACGGACTTCTGGCGTGTTTAAAATTTTGCTCGTCCCTCTTGAGGGTATCGCACTGTTGAAGCGGCGCTGCGAGCAGCTGCGAGCAGCTACGATCCAAAAAGTATCAGAACCGCTCACGGCGCATGCGCGCGCAATCCTGCATCAACGCCGGCCGGTCGCTCGCTATTTCCCTAATAACACACGCTGTTCGTTTTTGTTTCTACACGTTTTTTTACTCACAAAGATTGTCAAGAAAGCGTGTTTGTCGTGTTCATGTCAAATTAAACTGATCACAAAACACAGATTCACTTTCTTTATTTCGTTTTCCTCATCCAACCCCCATAAATCCCTGTGTGTCCTCCTGCAGCACTCCCGAAGGACAACAGGCAAGACAAAAAAGTCTGACGTGTTGTGTAAAAACTGCTATTTTTAGCACATTTTAGGGCCGACGTGTTGCTACCAGACGTACAGTGTGAGCAGTCAGGTCGCATGCGAGAATTGGGTCGTACAGTGTGATTACAGGACTCGTGAGATCTGCTCTGCGAGGAAGTCGTACAGTTTGAGCTGAAGCTGAACGCTGCGAGTGAAAAAGTCGCACAGTGTACGCCCGGCTTTAGGAGCACTGAAAAGAAACAGCTTTGATGATCACATGGTCCCGTTGTCTGAAATCACAATTTGGATCAGAAAACGGTAGCTGGTTCAGACTTATGTGATGGAGGTAAAAGAAGATGCATTACCAAGGGTCGTGTTCTCCCAGAGTCTCCATCGTGGTGAAGAGCTCAATACATTCCCTCAGAGCCACAGTGGTTTTCTTCTTCTGAGGCTGCAGCATGCTCTCATGCTTCTCATAGGCCTAAAGACAAACATTTACATAAAATATGAACAGACTGTTTGCATGTTGCGTCACAAAAGCGATCCGAGGCGTATCGATGCTCCGACCTCTGCTTCCTGCTCATCATAACACAGTTTCTTTGACTCCGTGTCCCAGTCGATGGCCACGGTAGAATGTGCTGCAGGTGGAGAACAGATGGGACAGGCTCTGTTGACACCAAGTTTTAAAATGTTAAATATAAACGTTCTAAGCTTTAAACTTAAAATAACAGCGCTGACGGTTAAGTTTGAGGACATTCCCATCACAAGGCAGCGGGCTGATGTTGACTGTCCCGTAAGAGTTGACTACGCTGAAGGTGAACAGCTTGGATGTCTCTCCATTGGACCCATTTTCCAAATCAGAAGCCTCCTCCTCCTCTTCAGACTGACCGTTCTCCGGTTCCGGGCTCACCTGGTGGTCCATGGCCTCCTCTTCAGCTGAACACAAAGGTAACACAAGCAGGTCCATCATTTTTTATGAGACTGTTTCCGGCTTCTAGGTCTGTGATCAACGATGATCGTGTCAGCTACACACCATCATAGATCCCGTTAGCTTCGCTGCACGTTCCTGAGTGGTTGCTGCCATTACTGGAGCTGCACGAGGCCCCCTCCGACTGGGGGCTGCCGCAGCCCCCCAGGCTGGATGATGTGGAGCATTCAGAAGCCTGGTTGCAGCTGGTTATGGTGGCAGACGCCGACGCTCTGCTACCATTAGGGCTGTGTGCAGGTTTTACATAACGCCTGCAGAACAACACGGAGAAGAATCGTCAGAGCAAATAGGACATTTTTCACCTGCTGTGGTGCACTTTGTTGACCGACGCCTCAAAAAGGCGATTAAACTCAGAAAACAACAATAACTCATATAACCAACTCCTCGTGGTCGGATTTCACCAACTGAGTAAAATCGACTGTGACTAGTGGATCGCTGCGTGTCAGGTACCCTAAAGGTTTGACGAGAATTTCTTGAGTTCTCTGACCTCGCCATAAGACCTATGATGTGACCATGGTACACACGGCGATGTCGATGCTCAAACATACCACTGTGCAGTAGGGATGCACCGATGGATCGGCATTTGATCGTAATCGGCCGATAGCGCCCCTATTGGTTTTGATCGGAATTTTCAAAATAGATCAGAGCAAACCGATCAGGTAGGGTTGTCACGGTAACCAGTGTAGCGGTAAACCCCGGTAAAAAAAAGTTGACAATAATAATAACCGTCTTGTTTATTTAATAACTATATTATCTCGGTGGATTACCGTGGCTGCGGTGTAGGCGCGGTGACCCTTACCAGCCACCGTATCATCTGCTGAAGTTGCCGGCGGCACATACACGCTTTGTTGTTTACAACCAAAACTTTCTTGAAGCTAAAGCTGAAATAATGGCCAAAGGAGGAGACGGCAGCGCTCAGGACATTTATTATCCCTCAAAGAAGACAAAGTGGGAAGTACGGGCATTTTTTGGATATTTGAAGAATGCAGAGGGACAGTTGATAGAAGACGGCTATCCTGTTTGCAGCACGTGCAGAAAAAGTGTGAAAGGCAGCAACGCTTCAAATCTCATGACACATCTGCGTGACCATCACCCACAACTCTACAGTCAACACTAGGCAAGCTAATGTTAGCGTTTTAGCTAAAATGCGTGATCCGAGGATTTGGGTTGAGGGAGAATGCAACGAGTCGCTATATAAAGCAGCCGCAGCGCCGCTACCTGCATATAAACCGTGTCGCGGACACCCCCATGTTGAAATGACGCTATGCATTACGGGGCTCCCAGGGGCAGATAAGAGTTGGTCTCTCTCTGAGAATAATTATGAATTTAACAATGATTACTGCCTGATGACATTTTCCCACATCTGCAAAGCTCACTGGAAGGACACAAACCGAGGACGATATTTTCCTGATATAGGGTTTATTACTCAAGTAAGGGTAAAAAAAGTATCTGATTAGAAGGCTACTTGAGTACTGAGTATCATCTGATCTAATATTTTTAAAATGATGACATCAAACAGACAAAAAATAAGAAGTTATGGGCAAATATTGGTATTTTAAAGACTAAAGGGGAAAAATGTAAACAAATAAACAACATAATTACAAAATAACACATTTTAGACTAAATTTAGACACAAATTGAGGACAATATTTCCTGACATACAGGGTTTATTTAATTGTGTGAAAATGTAACACGTTTAAAAAAATACCGCGATAATACCGAAAACCGTGGTAATTTTGGTCACAATAACAGTGAGTTTAAATTTTCACACCATGACAACCCTAATACAGGCCATTTTAGATTAGGTTACATTTCCGTTATTCCCAGATTATGTAGTTTGTAGCACTCATTATAATGTAGAAATTCCTGGCCAATCCACATGATCGGTATCGGTGATCGGCAGCAAAAAACCTGATCGGTGCATCCTTACTGTGCAGCTCGAGTTAAAAACTGCGATGTTGTTTCTGTTTCAGCTAAGGGGCGCTGCCGTCCACCGCTGGTTCTTACCCAATCCTTTCCAGGATCTTGACATAAAGAACATCTGCTACCAGGTTATGTCGGGGGACGCTGATGAGTAAAGGCTGGCCAAACAGCGAGGTGCTCGAGGAGCTTCCCATGTGTTTGGAGTGGCGCTCCCTGAAATACACGGGCAGGTTCATCCTTTCCCTGTCCTCCTCCTGTACCTCGTACCTGCAACCAGCAGCAAAGGTCAGCCCGCGGACCAGAGCAAAGGCCCAAGCGCGTTTAACACAACAAGACTTACACAAAAATATCATCTTTCTCCATTATTTGGTTGAGGCCATCATCTCGTCTGTAAATTTTATGGAACCTATGATTGTAAACATCTGCCACCACCATCTGCAAACACAAGCGTTGTACAACGTCAGAGGAAAGTCCTCTTAAAGTGTTGTGTTGAAAATTTAGCTAAGAGTGTAAAGTTCTAACATGCTCTGGAGGAATTCCACAGAGTTTGGACAAGGCGCTGCACAGGTCTGTCACTGTGCCCAGTTTGGGGACCACCACTCGATACTGCAAGATTAAAATAAAAGAAATCCTCAGTTAACTGCCTTTCAATACATTTTTATCAACTGGGAACTTTAGAATTGGCAGCAAATGTGGATTAATTACAGTTCCACGTCTGGAGCAGTGAGGCGGAGGATTAACTCACCTGTGTGGGTCTGGATTGAGGGTCTGATCGCACCAAAAAAACCTCCATGGTACGGTCTTTCTTCATGGGAAGAGGCAGCGTGAGGTAGCAGAAGGGGTCAAAGGTTACAGATACCTTGGAGCATTCTGGACACACCAGCGTTGATTTGAAGAGGCCGTGAAAGATATCAACTATTACTGAATCGTTGCGTAAGCGGTGGTTGGTCCAGGCTTCCTTGGCAACGATCTACAATCCCACAAAGATACATGATGAGAAACCAGCTCAGGGTGAAGATGAAAACCTGAACAACAGAACATCTAAGAACGACAGGAATCTTTTCTAACAGCTCCCTGGAAAACTCAGCTATTCCTTTCAACAACTAAAACACGGTTTTGTAAAAGGAAACACTTCGAGCAGCTTCACATCAACGACTTTGACACCGTGTAAATACAGGAGCCATACTTCATCCGGCCGGCCCTCTGCATCCCTCAGGGCCAGATAAGGCTTCTTCTTGACACGGTTCAGATCTTCATGGAGACCGTCCAACAGGAAGGCCAGCAGCTCCTGCGAGTCTTGCTGCTGGTAGCCTGAGAACTGTGGAGCAAAGCGCCCAACCTGGGTCTGGGAAGAGGAACAGCAGGTAGGTGTGACCACTCCTAGCTTTGAATCTTTTCATCTTCTGAATGATCGGACTCACTTTGAAAGTACGAGGTGCCACGTAAGTGCTGCGGCTCATCCACATCTGCTTCACTAAATCTGCATAGGCCTCGGCAATCTCCCCCCTCATTCCCAGCGGGTTCTCTCGGTTAATCTCTGCTTCGTACTGATCGTTGAGGAAGTACTCGGTGAGCGGAGACACGTTGCTCAGGCACTAGAGGAAGAGGAACCAGAAAGGGGATTATGTAAATAAATAAAACAGACAGAATGAGGACACGAACTTCCTCTTCTAACCTGGAGAGCAGAGTTCATGAAGCACGTATTTCCCAGATTACTGAGCCCACACAGGCCAGGTTGGGATTGGGAATCTCTGTAGTTGTAGGAGCTGTAGGAACTGTAGCTCCCGAATCTGCTGAGGAGACGTTTCAGTTAATGTTGGTACCTTAAATCATAAAGCAAGTTTCAGATTTATGTTAAAAGGAGACATTTAAAATACAATAAAGCATTATTAAGGAAAAGCACATGAACACGTTATCGTGCACACGTCCAACTGGGACTTTAACACAAACCTGTCCTTATTTTGTTCATTGGTCTGACCCTCATGACCACTCCATAACCCCCAGTTGGCCCAAATTAATCTCCTTTTCAATACTTGTTGTTTTTATACAAAGAGTGTCTTAACTTCTCTGATGCTTGCTGCAAAAAGTCCCTTTTTCTCCACGACAACAGAATTACAGATAACAGCGTTATTTCAAAGGTGAACCCACTTCAGGAAATCGGAATTGGGTGGGGAAAATCGGATTTAACCATATAAAACAACAAACATGACTTGGAACATTAATCCTGAGAAAGAGACTTCCAAACAGAACAACAATGGCTTCGTTTTTAATTCAACAGGTTCACAGACAACACTGTTTAAGGTAGTCTGGGAATTCACACACCACAACATGTAGCTGTTAGCTAACACCGAGCATACTTGTCACCTGAAGAGAGAGAAACTGTAATTTGGATGTATTTTTAAATGAACAGCGAAGAGTGTGTAATAAACGCGTGTAATGTGTGCTACTGGGCGGTAAAGATAGTGCTACGTTCAACACTACAATTCTAATGCGCCACCTTAAAAAAAGGCTTAGTTTACTGCAGCAATTCAACCAAGACAGCCGACATGAGAACACACATTCAGGAACCAAACAGCAGTTTACGGAGTGATTAAAAAGAACTTAAAAGACAACTCTAGTGTGTTCTACTATTTTCTTAACACATTTCTAAAATATCAGATCGGGACTCGGCATCTGCAGATTCTTAAAATCAAATGACTCGGAATTGGATCGCGAGCAAAAGAACGTGATCGCAACATCTCCAGTTTAAAATATTGCCGACACATAAAAACCATGTTATTGTTGAGAAAACTACAAACGAACAAACTAGAAAACATCTTTTGTTGCTGTTCCATTAAAGTTCTGAATGAATCCATCCCAGAACAGCGTGCTCTTTTATTGTGTTTACAATGAAATGTAATAAAACGCAATAATAATAATAATAATAATGCTGAGAGGCATCCGTGGGATCAGACTGATACTCTGGCAAACGCACACCTGGCATCAGAAACAAAACAACAAACATTACTCCTAAAGAGGAAAATGACAGATGATCTGTAACGATCTCTTACCTGTTGCTGGAGGAGGTACTGTTGTTCAGCGTGCACCCGGGGCTGGAGCTGCTGTCTCCATTGGTTACCGTTGGCGACGTACTGACTGATGAGTTGGAGGACAGTTTTGGGGAGGTGGTGAAATTCCGAGATGGGGTTGCGCTGGATCTGGTGAAGAAGAAACTCAGTCGCTCATAAATTCATTCCATTTGTGTAAAGGTGCGTTTATTACTCTATTGGCTCAAATGTTTTTTGTGTTATAACAACAAAACAACAGAAATCTTTGACTGTAGAAAAGGGTGTGCTTACTTGGGATGGGAAGGTTGCCTCGACCACGAGCCGTCCTCGTTCTTGCGTTCAATCACGAGCACCTGCAAGCAGCATTAAAGCTACATCATCACCTCTGTCAGCAACCCCGCCTCAATCAGGAAGATAATATGACATCATCTACTGCCATCAAGCATCCTTAGCCACAGGACGCTTTACGGATGCATTAAAAATTTGTACCATTCTCTATCGACCCTTTGCACGTGACGTCACTTCGCTCATGGAACCACCCCCTTTGCCATGACGGATGGCAGAAAGACGTTTACACACGCTGAAACTCCTAAAGCTAGTCAAAACAAGTCTGTTTGCAGCCTTTTATCGCTTTTATTTTGTTGATTTCACAGTAAGACTTACAATCCACTCTAGTGAAATGTGAGAATTATTTACAATAAAATTGTTCTAAATGTAGGATTACGCGTGTTAAATCATGTTATTCATTTAGTATGATGAGTGCCGCCGTTATGAGACATCTTGTCCCATCCTGGTGTGTGAGTAGCATCTGAAGCGGGTGACCCTGCCAGCGACTAAAACTGGTAGGAATCCAGACTTCTCTAGTTTTTGGTTTTTTTTATCAGCTCCAGTGTAAAGGGAAACACTGACATAATGTTATAAAACTTGTGGGGATCATTCTAGCAAAGTTGGCTGCTTGTTTACATCGGTGAACAGCAGCTAGGAGAAATAAGCTAACATTCGTTAGCTAGTTAACACTTAACTTTAGTAACACCTCTAGTGGGCCATTCCCACCTGTACCGGGTCGGCCCGGGCCGGGTAGCGTAGGTTGTTTACATATCTGGGTGGCCTGGAATTTTCCCGGGCCAACCAAGGCTCATTCTCGGCCCTCTTCCCGAGGGGTACTGCTTCAGGCCGACCAGGGCCAACACGCCCACTGCTGACAGCAAATTCACACCTTCCATTAGAGCAAGCCTCTGATTGGTGGGTAGAATCAGCCCATTCACACCTTCCATTAGAGCAAGCCTCTGATTGGTGGGTAGAATCAGCCCATTCACACCTTCCATTAGAGCAAGCCTCTGATTGGTGGGTAGAATCAGCCCACATGGGCTTAAGGCAAGGATGTGTGGAATCAACCGGGCCAGGCTGGGGCCGACTGGGGCTACCCGGCCTGGGCCGACCCGGTACAGGTGGGAATGGGGCTTAGGTGTGTTAAACGTGCCCACAAGTGCACCGGGCTTGAACCAGTAGCAGGATTACTACTACTGAAATGATTTTCAAGACATTTAAGACTTTTTCAGCTGCTATAGTACGAGTCAAGCTATCACACCTATGGCTGGGTGATATAACAATATAGTTATCATTTCGGGATATATTTTGAAACAGATACGATAGTGTACCTTTACTGTTATATCAACAAAGATTGCGGTCTTTCACACTGCCACCTGCTTTTCTCTACTTGCAATCCAACACAACTAAACAGATGTGATTCTCTACTTTAGTTGACACACTGCTATGCTACATACTGATATCAGTTTAAAAGTCCAAACTCTCACAGTCAGGCTGTATTCACCATCAGTCAGTAACGTTGGACAATATTAACCATTATCAATCTTTTAAATGAATTGTATCTGCTCGCACCAAGGTACAGTATGCATCTGCATGGTTTCCTCCAGCGCCAAGCGTCATGCCCCTCCCCCTCCCCGACCCTACCGTGTCCGCTGACACGAACGGCACAACGAAATTAGAGCCCTCCATCAGCTGATACTGGTGAGAAACAGCAGCGGAACGTGTGCAACCCCCCCACCCCCGCTTTCACGAGGAGCGCTGCAGAACGGAGCGCACGACCCCCCCTGTGTATATATGTGTATATATATATATATATATATATATATATATATATGGTATAAATAATGGCATAAATTTATGAGTTTGTGTTTTTGACTATAAAGTAGGCTGGGCAAAAAAATCAAAAATTTATCGTTAATGACATTTCTGACTCTTATCAAGATCATTATTCCCACATCAATAAATTTGATAATAAAACAATGAAAAGATGTGTGTAGGTTGGCAACGTTCATGTCCCTTTAAGAAGCTGTACCACCTTGAGTCACGTAAAAATGTGACTCAGCGTAATACATGTGTGACAGCTTCATCTAGTGGACAACTTTTGTTTATGCGCATACCTGTAGTTAAGGTCTATTTAACGTCATCGAAGTGAAATCCTCAATATATCTTGAAATTGATATTAGGCCACACCGCCCAGCCCTACTATAAATTATTTTTATTTATCAGGTCTGTGTTAAATATTCTGGCAAACTAAAGTAAAATATCGGTATATATCGTATATTCCGAGCTTTGGAAAGGTTTTATTCTCTACAGTTGTACCTTATATTTTGTACATTACTTCTAACTCAGAGATAAGTAGCAGGGATGTCCATAGTTAACCGGTTAACCAGTTAATTGAAATGATTAAATGAAAAGTAATGATGGGTGTTTCGACCACGCCAGTCACGTACTTTGAGATTTATTAGCTTGTAAAAGTTCGTAATTAGCATGACTACAAACTAGAAATCGGCACGTGGCATTTGTGATGTCACTACATAATCTCATCTCCCCAAAGTAGCTGCTACTTACCAAATGACCAGATTTATGGTGGTTCTTTCCTCCTGTGGGAAGTTTGTTGAACTTACAGCCCTTTCCCCTGAGTTTCCTTCGTGTTTGGTGTGATGACATCACTTTCGTGAAGCGCATTTGTAGTCTTGCAATTATTTTCACACAAAACCTAAAATATCGTTCCCCCCATTCGAAAATAAGCGCGTTCTTGGTATCAAAATGTGTCTTTAAAATTCACAGACATCATATGTGAAATCCATATCACAAAACAAGCGGAATTAGAAAATAGCGTTTTTAGCCCCGTTGACTTGCACTTATATTTTCGTTCTTCCGGTGACCCATGATGCGGAAGTGACATAGGCTCCCTTTAGGAACAAATATGAAATACTGAGTAGAACATGGCCCGGTATGGCTACCTGTTGCCCGTCGCTATCTCGAAGCTGTCGTCACGTTGGCTACGGCTCCACTAAAACCAAAAACGAGTGCCGACTTTAAATCCTTACTTGGTCTGAAAAATCAGTAAATCTAGCAGCAAAGACGGATGAAAACACTGGGAAGCAGAACTGTTCTAAGGGAATATGCAATTTGATTGGTTGGTAGCATCACGTGGGGCACTGTGCCAGCTAGATGAAGAAATGACAGCAGACAAGCGCTACAGCCCAATATTGCCCATTGAAGGCAGCTGAAAACAGACATTCATGCAGTACATGTTTAACCCATTTGCATTCGTCCACAAGGAAGGACAATTATTTTCCTGGGCAACTCAAACGTTTTCATGACATTTAATGTTTTTTCCCATTTTCCATGCTTTTTCTAAGACTGGAAAATGTGTCTATCATTTCTAGGTCTTTCAGGACGAGTGGGAACCCTGAAAGCCAGGCTAAACTGGCTAAATAAATACCCTCAGTCGCCACTTTTGTTCTCCATTCCTGTAATTCACTTTTGCCCCTCCTAGCTGTGCTACTTCCTCTGATAACCGAACCGGGGTTGAACTAGATGAAGCCATGCTAAACATCGCCAAAAACAAGAAAAGAAAAAAATAATAAAAAAAACTATTTCAGTCAGTGCTTTTCCTTTTGTTTAGTACTCGTGTCGCCCACTGCTTACATGCTTTTGCCAACCGATATGGTGGACCCACGTAATTAGGTGACACAGGTGCAAGGGGTCAATAGTTCTACAGCAAGAACTGATCTGAATTACAATGACTTATGGCACCTCTGGTCCTCGAAGGCTGCTAAAACAAAACATGCTGGATAGTGGCCCTCGAGGACCGGAGTTACCTACCCTTGACTTATGGTAACCAAGGGCAACAACCTGATGAGATCCTTTCTTTTTACCAAGTTCAGCATCTATTTAAGTTAAAAGTGAAACAATTCTTGTTTACCTCTACCAAACGTATAAAAAAAGTCACAGGAAACGTTTAACAACCCAACCAAAGCTACTCCTCAACAAGATAAACAATAATGCACGTCTCACTGCAGGGCTAATGAGCTGCTTTGCATTAGGCTCCATCATTTTTCTGATTTTATGTCTGTGAATGAATAATTTATGCAGACAGTACTAATATGCTACAAAGGTTGTGCTGTTTCAGTGGATCAGTGTTCTTTAAGGTCATTGGAATAACTAAAACTACCTGTCCCTGGAAGAGTCCGGCATCCTGTACAGTGCTGTCTGGCTTATTCAGCTGCTCATACGTGTTGCTCATGTATTTGTTCCAGAGTCGAGTCTCCTTTTCTGAAGGGATATTAAACAACTTCCGCATCTCCTTCTCTATTGTATCTGGAAACAAACACGTATAATGAACCAGGGCTGTCAGCATCTGCTTTAAGTTCACTTTGAGATCACACAGTAATTCTTACCTATGGTGTCAGCTTTACTAAAATGGCGCGTGATGACGTTGTCCATGTTGTCATTCTCACACAGGTTGAGCTCCAGCAGATAGACTTCCACCTTACAGTGCTTCACAAACATGCCATGTTCAACCACCTAGAGGCCAGAGACAGTCAACGCCTTGCAAAGCTTGGTGAAACAGAAAGAGGAAGACAACTCTTCAATGGGACTACCTTCCTGACGATTGGTTTCTGGCCCTCGAGACAGCTGTACCAGCTGACAAGCTTGTTCCATGCCTCCGTGGGTACAAGGACATAGTCTAGTTCATCTATAAGGTGCTCTTTCAGGGCCTGAGTGTCCTGGTCTAGGAGACAAAAATAAATAATACACCAACTTTTAACGGGGGCTGCTGGAAAGATTAAAAATAAAACAAGACAGGACTCTTGATAAAATACCTGAGAATAGTCCAGAGTTATCAATTGGTCCCGGATAGAGGCTACGTTCTCCAACATTGTACATATCCCAGCTGTCAAACCCCACATACTTTTTCCATTGTTTGAACCACCGGCTGTCTATTAGATACCTAGGACAAATGAATGAATTGTTATTACGTAAATAACAATGAACACAACGATCCTCAAGAATTACCCTAAATAATAACCACCAATGTCTATAGTTATCAGATAATGAATATAGAACAGGATAAAGGATAAGAACCACTGCCTCATGCAGACACAAAACATTATGTAACACCACAATTCCCTGGCAGTTATAGTAACAGCAAGCCAGTTTTACTTAATCTCGTCTAAAGAATCACCTTTAGTTAATTGGCTTCAAGAGATATCTAGTAACAAACATTCATTCATTCAGTAATGTCCCAGGTATGTCCGTGTCTTGTGTTTCCTTTGACACGTTAGGTTTTATTAAACTGTGTCTGATTAAAGCCAGGATAAGTGTAGTCCATTGCAAAAGCATCGTGAAAGGTCATCTACTAATAACTGAGTGACTGAACAAACGTGGAGCTAAAGAGTTAACCGTTTGTATTTTCTATGTTAATGCCCTTATATTAACTAAGAGAACACACATGTTACCTAGTTTAGATCTCACAGCTTATTATCTAAACTGAAGTTGTTGATTTTTTTTATTTTACTTTAATTATAGGCACGTATAGATTTTTCCACGATAATACTTAATTTGTGAAATATGGGCTCTTTTCAATGCCCTAGCTACGTTATAACCAGGCCTGGATGCTCTTAAAGATTTAAAACGGTGTGAAAAGAGTGACAGTAAAGAAATGCCATATCATATCAGCGAACCTGATTGAGCAACAAGCCGGCTGGACTCGAATCATCTGACTACGGGGCCTTCTAGCTAGCACATCGGTTGGCTCCGATAACGTATTACAAAACGAGATAACTTTGTGTTACTCAACAACATGTTATTTACGTGATTAGTCTGCTGCTCCCAGCCAAAATAGCTGATTCCTTAACGATACACTCCATGTAACAGAAATTGTGAAGAGCTTTGGTTAGCAGCTAGCGTGCTAATCCATGTTACATTAGCTTGCTATTTAGCAGTACAGCTTTCTGTTTCATTGCTTTATACGCCTATTAGCTGTAGCATGTTAGCACTTCCGGTTTCTCGCAAGCTAACGCAGGAGCCTCAGATAGGGTTGAACTTAGCTGATTCTTACCATTCGTCCCCTCTTTTTAAAGTTGTTTTCAATAGTGACCCAATAGTTTGTTTCTGATTTTCCGTTGATGGGGTAGGTATTTGTGCGGCTACCGGCTCCGAGTCGGAGTCTGCCGCGCTACCCGAATCGGGTCCGCCTCCCTCAGCCATCATGCAGCCAGTGTGCCGGTATCGTGAACGCGCTAAAACTACGCACATGGACGAGCTGTGTTCTTTTCATCCCCTATTCCCCTCTAGCAGAGGCGGTTCTAGAGCTTTACTTTTAGGGGTCCACAACTACAAACGTGACTTGCAAAAAGACCCAGAAGTGTTTTCTCTCTGTCACAAATAAGACTGAAAGCTGGGGTACATACACATTTTTTAATGGTTTTGGTTTCACAATCCTCTCCAGGGTGTGGCTTGTACACTTTTTTTAATCACATTGTCCTTCCATTCACCTCTCTTTAAATGTGCTTAGCTTATACACAGCTCTTTAGCAACCATCAGTCAGTATGTACAGTCTATGTACAGTATGTACTAGGGTTGTCACGATACTAAAATTTCAAACTCGATTCGATACTTGAAATAAAACTCGATACTCGATTTCGATACTATTTAAAAACACCCATTTATCGAACACGTTTATTCAAAAAATAACATTCCTCACATTATATTACAAAAATTAAATGTTAAGAATTAAGTGTATTAAGTGCTTAAACCTTTCAAGTATCAGCATTTTTTAAAACGTGCATACAAAAACTGGTGAAAGTTAACATTTTAAATCATGAATTGTCTCACTATATATACACTATTTGCAGAGTGATGTTTTGCTGCTTAAACTCTGTTTAAGGTGCATTTTTGTCATAAGCTGTAATGCCATATGTTTTGTTCTGTACTTTTGAACAACTCTGTTGGTCAATAAAGGGAGAAAACGAATTTCTCCACAGTAGGACAAAGGTACATCTACCGGTAATCTTAATAAAAACAGACTGGCGCACGGCAGTGACGTCATTAAAAGCGCCGGTTAGATTAGCCGCAGCTAGTCTGTTTACGCCTAGAAATCCCAGACCAGACCCGCTCCAAACGAACAGGGGAATCACGTTAATGATTCCTAACAAAACCTTTCGACATGAAGATGTTTTGGTGCAGATAATGTCTTATTTCGAGGCTGCACCATGGGTGCCCGTCCGCACCCGTTATATGGATATACGCTGACGGCGATTTGGCGATGGACCTACGGTAAATACCCCGGGGAATCCAAGTAGCACCAAAGTTGTCAGCGTGAGTAAACAAACGTACTGCATGCTAGAAATTAAGGCCGGGTTGCAATAAACGGGAGTTTCCTTTAAGCACATAAGCGTGAATATACAACTACATGTCGGACTAATTAAGTTGGGCTGTGAAGCGCCTCCCAAATTCGCTGTTTATGTTTTTGTTTATTTATTTGGCAGACAAAACTTGGATCGGAGACAACTCGCGTGGGAAATTGCAATGTAGCCATGCGGCGTCTTCTTCTGTTTGTCTGGGAGGCGGAGGCTGCTTTACTGCATCTGGCTGTCATGCGTGTCGGTGTACTTGAAGAAGGCTGTGTATCATAGTCCATAATATCGATACCACAGGGATGGAATATCTCATTTAGATGCCACTTTTAGTATCGATTTATATCTGGGTATCGATTTTTTTGACAACACTAGTATGTACAGTCTATGGTGTGAACCCAAACAAAGCCATCTTTTTGAAACATTTAGGGAGGGAACGCCTGGATGAAAAGGTGAGTTTTTAGATGATTTTTGGGTGCAATAGTCTGAAAGGCCCTGTCCCCTTTGGTTTTCAGTCTGGTTCGAGGAACAGCCAGGAGGTTTTCAGATGTGGATATAAGGTTCTGAGAGGTTTTGCTGAGACCAGTAAAAAGAGCGTTACAGTAGTCTAAGCGCAATGACACAAAGGCATGGATGAGAGCCAGTGCATCCCAGGTTAACACAGAGACACACAGGACAAACAACCATGCACACACACACACACACACACACTCACACCTAAGGACAATTTAGACAGACCAATCAACCAAAAGCAGTCATGTTTTTGGACGGTGGTTAGGAAGCCGGAGAGAACCTCTGCATGCACAAGGAGAAAATGCAAACTCCATGCAGAAAGATCCCAAGCCGGGAAGCGAATCCAGGACCTTCTTGATGCAAGGCAACAGCTCTAACCACTGCGCCACCGGGAAGCCTGCACACATTCAATTTTAGCCAATTAGAATAGAACATTTCAGCCTCCTAGTCTTAAAGAAGCTTAAAAAAATCTTAATTTTTTTAATAAACAATTTGGGAATTATAATATTATGAAGGAGAATGAGGAGGATTTGAAGGGGATGAACCTGTATTAGTAAAGGGAAAAGACATCCCTAGTAGAAACACTAATTTCTTCCAAACACTGTTTTTTTCCTTAAAAGAATGGGAAATTTGCGTCCTCTGCTGGCCACAAACAGCAGTAAGGAATAAAGAGAAGGAGGGAAAATGCTGCCTTCCGGTGGCTATTTGCTGTAACTGCATCTATTTCATTTTAGTAAGTAAGTAAGTAAGTAAAAGTGTATTTATATAGCGCCTTTCACAGATATAAATCACAAAGCGCTGTCCAACATGATAAAGATCGGGGCAAATACCTCTAACCAATAAAAACATCAGAAAAACAATAGCAGTGATAAAGTAGAAAATAAAATCATGAGTATAAACAAAGTGAAGGTGTGAACCCAAACAAAGCCATCTTTTTGAAACATTTAGGGAGGGAACGCCTGGATGAAAAGGTGAGTTTTTAGATGATTTTAAAGACCTCTACAGTGTTAGAGAGACGGAGATTTGAAGGTAGACTGTTCCAAAGTCTGGGTGCAATAGTCTGAAAGGCCCTGTCCCCTTTGGTTTTCAGTCTGGTTCGAGGAACAGCCAGGAGGTTTTCAGATGTGGATCTAATGTTCCGAGAGGTTTTGCTGAGACCAGTAAAAAGAGCGTTACAGTAGTCTAAGCGCAATGACACAAAGGGATGGATGAGAGCCAGTCCATCGCAGGTTAACACAGAGACATACAGGACAAACAACCATGCACACACACATGGCTTTACCCAGCATGTTCCTGGCCCCACACACACCAGGGGGCACACTCTAGACTTTGTTTTTACCCTGAGTCTAAATGCTGACAGTGTTTGTCCTGAGGACGTTTATATTTCAGATCACCATTGCATTTTCTTTAACTTGTCAGTTTCTGCGTCCCCACCTCCTGCTCGCCGTATGGTTAGTTCTCGTTTTCTTAATGAGAGCACAGCTAGAAATTTTTCTGCTGCTTTTGATCCACCCTGTTCTTCTGATAACGACCCAGATTCCTTAACTTCTCAGTTCAACGAGCACTGCCTCTCCATTCTGGACAACATCTGTCCTGTCAGAACCAGATCAGTTCCTGCAGTGAACCCTACTCCCTGGTTTAATGACAGCCTTCGCAGCCTAAAGCACCAATGCAGAAAAATTGAGCGCTTGTGGAAGAAAACCCATCTCCACGTCCATCTGCTGCACCTAAAGGATCTTCTGACATCCTTTAACTCTGCAGTCAGAGACGCGAGGATTTCCTATTTTTCCAACCTGGTGTCCCAGAGCAAAGGGAACCCCAAGGTGCTGTTTAAGACCATCAGCAGCATCGTCTCTCCTGCCTCTCCTATAGCCTCCATCTACTCTGTTGCAGACTGTGAGAACTTTCTGTCTTTCTTTGTGGACAAAGTCAATAAGGTTAGATCTAGCATCTCTCCTTCAGCCTTATCGCTGCCTCTCCCGACTCCAGCCAGGCCCGTCATCCTAGATAGCTTTGCTCATGTTTCTTTGCCTGAGTTAACCAAACTAGTTAACTCTATGAAGACCTCTGCATGCCCCCTCGACATCTTACCCTCTTCTTTGTTTAAAAGTGCTTTTCTGTCCATCGGTCCCAGCGTGCTCTCTATAATTAATGCTTCTCTGGTTTCTGGTCAGGTCCCTGCTTACTTTAAGAACACTGTAATCCACCCGCTTCTTAAAAAACCGAGTCACGACCCCTCTCTCCATAGCAGCTTCAGACCCATCTCTAAACTTCCGTTCATCTCCAAGATCTTGGAAAAGGTTGTGGCTAAACAACTCACAGCTGCTCTTGATGAACATAACATCTATGATAGCTTCCAGTCAGGTTTTCGTAGAGCTCATTCTACTGAAACAGCTCTTCTTAGGGTCTCTAATGACCTTCTGACTCACAGTGATGCAGGGGACTGTTCTGTTCTGGTCCTGCTGGACCTGACTGCAGCCTTTGACACTGTTGACCATCACCTGCTACTGGAGAGGCTGAGAGACTGGGTAGGCCTATCAGGATCAGCTCTGGAGTGGTTCTCGTCTTATCTCTCTGAGCGCTCCTTTTCTGTGGCCGTCTCCAAGTTTAGGTCCTCCACCACCTCTCTTACCCATGGTGTCCCACAAGGTTCCTTGCTGGGGCCTCTACTCTTCCTCCTCTATCTGCTTCCTCTTCAGCACATCCTGAGCTCCTTCAAAGGAATCTCCTACCATCTTTATGCAGATGACATCCAACTGTACATCTCCTTTAAGCCCCATGAGATGTCTAAGCTGCAGCTGTTACACACCTGCTTAGACTCTATCAAAACCTGGATGGCTGGGAGCTTTCTTCAGCTGAATGAAGATAAGACTGAGATCCTCATCTGTGCCCCAGACAAGCTGGTTCCCAAAGTCAGAGACTCTCTTGGTCAGCTTGCTTCCCACACCAAACCTTCCATCAGGAATCTTGGCGTGACCTTTGACCCAGCTCTCACCCTGGATTCTCATGTTAGTTCTCTTGTTCGCTCTTCCTTCTTCCATCTCAGGAACATTGCTAAGCTGAGTACCATTCTGTCTCGCTCTGAACTTGAGACAGTTCTCCACACCTTCATCTCCTCACGCTTAGACTACTGTAACTCTCTTTTCACATGTCTGAGCAGAACCTCCCTGAACCATCTACAGGTGGTTCAGAATGCCTGTGCTCGGCTTCTGACCAAGTCCTCCAAACACACCCACATCACCCCGCTTCTCCTCCAGCTCCACTGGCTGCCAGTCAACTTCAGGGTTCATTTCAAGATCCTGGTTCTGGTCTATGGGACCTTACATGGGCACGCACCATCTTACATTGGTGATCTTCTTAGTCCCTACACCCCCAGCAGGTCCCTGAGGTCCAGTGATCAAAGCCTACTGGTTGTGCAGCACCAGGCTAAAGACCAAAGGTGACAGATCATCTGCTGCTGTGGCCCCCAGACTCTGGAACTCTCTCCCCCTGAGCCTGAGATCAGTGGACTCAGTGGTCTCCTTCAAAAAGCAGCTGAAGACTCACTTGTTCAAGCTGGCTTTTGTATGACCTTCTTCACCACTCTCTCTTTATTCTGCTCTCCCCACCTATTCCACCTTCCTCAGGATCCACTGATTTCCCTCTTTCCTATTCACTTTCTCTCTTTCTTAACATTTTTTCTTTTAAATCGCAATTGCTTATTCTTGCTCATTTTAAATATATTTTTAAACATTTTCTAAATGCTTTTTTTCTATTTTTACAATTTTTATATTTTTTGTTTTTGTGAAGCGCCTCGTGATTTTTATCTTGAGAGGCGCTATTGAAATGATATTTTCTTCTTCTTCTGCCTGCTGCTCTCTGTCCTGTCAGTGTATCTGGAGTGCCTCTCTACAATATTCTCTAGATTTTTATTAAGCTCGGATCTGGTTAGCTGGTCTATAAATGCAATTGATAAAATCCCCCCCCACCCCCCCCCACCCCAAAGTGAGCACCTTCTGCTCTGACGGAACTCACCTGGATGGATATGTAATGGATTTCTGGAACAAGTGGAAGATTATGTGTCTGTTGCTGCTGTCTGTGGAGGATGTGGAAGACACTTATATAACAGGATTCATGATGGCCAGGTTTTTGCAGCTTGGAGATGGTGGGTTCCTGGTGTATTGAGAGATTCTGGAGCTATCTGGGGCAATTGGCAAATTTCTCGAGCTCAGTGAAGGAATGTGTCATGCTGTTACATTTCAGACTCATGCGTTACATGAGATAAATAATAAACTGGATGCTCTGAGCAACTAGTAATGGAAAACAGCTTGGAGAAATGCTCAGCTAGCTCGATAAAAACTGACCCACGAAATTCAGCTGTTTGGACAATGCCTTGAGACTACAGAAAGCAGAGGAAAAATTAACCTCTGGCCTGTTCTAACACAGTTGCTCTTATCTGAATTCAGCTCCCCAATCTCGGCCTTGAAGGCTGAAAATTTTCAAACTCCCCTGGATAACTGGATGCAGAGAGTTGCTTCGCCCCTTACTCCCCATTCTTCACATGGACCTGTGATCTCCTTAGATCTGTTCGCTAGGAACTCATATCACACCCTAGATGAGAGACACTGTGACTGATGTGGGTGAAAGGTCATGGACCCACTTATCACTGATACAACATGCATGCATGAACACATATTTTACACTCACCCTCCCAAGGATTCAACGCTCACATTGTCTCCTGAATTCTCCCTCTCACTCTGACCAGTGGAGGTTGACATGCATAGTGGATAACTACAACCTCGGGTTGCAAGGGGGATCCCTACCTGCGCCCCTCTCATGCACAAGTTGATTTATGTTGTGATTGAACGTTTGAAGTTTTTCCTGAACCCCATCTCTGCTGTCGGGAGCAGGGTGGGTCTGTTTTTCTCCATCATCACCCCTCTCTTTATCTACAAATTGCAGTGCCATGAAGTGGCTGCATGTCCACAACCTGCCTGTTCCTGTGTTTGTTTTGTATGACTGCTCTTGGAAAGGTTGAACTAGAATAGAAATTTTTGTACTGGGACACAGGTTTAATGACAAATTTGATTCTGAAATTCTAACAAAAGTTTTCAGTCCTCAAGATCAAGCTGTTCCAGGAAACAAAAACGTGCTCTGACAGCCATTGCTGCGTGAGTGAATTGGTGTTTACTGGGGAGAGATTTCAGCAGTTAGAATCAGGTGTGTCTGAGCGGGCATGTATCCAAAAAAAAAAAAACAAATCACCTTTCTATCAGCGTTACAAGGCTGTTTGTAAGCATGGTATGAAGGTAGAAGTGTATATATCTATGGTTAACAATTTAAAACCAATTCCAGAGACATAAAATGCATCAAATTATTTATTTACAAATATGTTCAAGTGCACTACAGTGGGTAAATCCATTTTAATCAAAACTTATTTTTAGACTGTACAAAACATGATGATTGGGCTACAAAAGAAACAGTCTACATTTCTGCAAAAACAACTTTTCAAACACACAAACGTAACTTTAGCTGGTCCCAGGTCTGCCTGCACCTTCCAGAGGCAGACACAGAATTACTCATCCATGTTAAATTAAAGATGGAGTAAATAAATAGTGTTGGTGTAAAATAAATGCATACATCATTTACACCTGTACAATGGCTCGGTGTCTTATTTGCCACATGAGAAAAGTTAGTCCAGTGGAGAGGAAAACTCTTTTAACTCAGTAAAGAAGCACTACAAAGATCTCATTCTATTAGCTAAAAGCACTATGATGGTATACAGTTGTAGGACAATATCAATTCATTTCAAAGAGCAAAAGGTAGTTTTTAAATACGCTCTTTTCCAAAAGCAAAGGTATTTAGTGTGTGAGAAAGCAGAAAAGCCAGAGAGCAATACAAGGCGTTTTAAGGACAGGAATAAAAAGTTAGATGCACATGAGAGGACAACAAGTGGAGACTTGTAAACTCTTGTCTCTGTTGTGTTTTTCAATAAAAGCTAACTGCTTGCAATGAACAGACTATTAAAATGAAAATCTCCTAAAGGGCGATTAGGCAATCAGAAGATGCCGCTGGGCAGCTCCTTGCTGAACATGCCGTCGAAATCCAGCTCTCTGCCCATAAGATCGTCCTCCACGCTCTCCAGCGCCCACTGGTGGTCAGTGAGTTCCAGTGCCTCCCACTCAGCCTAAAAGGAAAAAGGATTACATGAACTACAAAACTCCTCATTTATCAAGCTTGCTTACTCACAAAACGGGGTCGGAAAACTGCGCAAGCAACTTTCCACGCAAACTTTGGCATAAATGAAAGAAAACGGAGCAGAAAAATGTGCGCAACTGTAAGTTGACTAAGGACCTGGCTTACGCACATGTTGCACATGGAGAGCACCTGCAGTGCTGCTGCTGAGAAGATACAATTATGAAATCCTGCAGCATTATCACTTGTACCGCTTCGTGCGCACACAGAACAAGTAAAAGGCGTGTTGAGGGTGGGTTGTGATCCAGAAACACCTCAGAACCTTTCTAGGCAGTTTGTGATTTATAAAGCGGAGGTTGCGTGCAGCTGTGCGTACTCCATGTTTGATAGATCACAAACCTACTTGGCGTAAGTACATTTTTTTTGCTGAGCTTAAGTACGGTTTTAGTAAGGATTCTACACAATCTTTGATAAATGAGACCCCTGACCTCTACTTTAGCTTATTATGCTGTGAGTACAGAACATACTTTGAATGCTTTGTTAGTATCTGCGGGCATAGCCATGGCAGCGCCACTCATCTGCTCCTGCATGATCCTTGACTGGTCAGCGCCTGGAGGAATTAAGGTCAATCAGTGTCAAAAATTAACATGTGGGACAGAGTAATAGACTAGTTAAGAAAGCAGGAATGACTTTGGGTTAACTAAACTTACCATTATCTTGGCCTAAAATCAATGAGTACATGCTTCGTAGTCCAAACACATTCAGGAAATACCACGAGGCTGAGCTGACCCTGGATGAGATCAAAAAGATGGTCTCACACACACAACCTACACATCTGAGACCAAAACCTAGTGGCCACAGCGGTACATGTGCCCAACTTTTGTTTCATTAGCTTACCAAGAAGCATCCAGCGAGAGCAGCTCTATCCCTTGTTGCAGCATGGGCTTAAAGCGCAGCGTGAGAGGGAAAGGGACCTTAGCTGTGAGCAAAAAATACACAACCTCATTTAAAAACATCATTTATTACTGGGCGAGACGAGTTCTTTAGTGAGGATCATACTGAACAATGCCTGTGTGTAAATACGATGATTTACTTGTTACAAATCCTGAAAAGGTCCAGTTGATCCAGCCGCCGATGAGGATCATAGGTAGCACGTTGGTGACGTTACCTTTCATCATGTCTGTCAGCATGCTGGGATCTGTGATAACAAACAGATGGCGATGCCTAACAGGAGCTGGGATGGTTCTATGCTTATAACATTTTTAGTAACTCAGTAACAACTTTTGAAAATTACAAACAGAAGCAACCAAATCAGTGATGCTTGTGTTTGATTGATGTATCAAAGGTGGAACCAAATTCACCTCTAGCAGTCAGCCTCATCACTGGATTGAGCTCACGTGTATCAAATAGGACCAGAGAACAGCTGTAGGGCTATTCGGTCCAACAGATATTTTTAAGGGCTGGTAGAAGCATTAGGTTAGAAAAACAACTTCAAACTTGTTTGTTGAAGGCATGTTATATTTACAAACGCCACTGTAATCACAAATTCTGTTGGATCTTATTCAATAACATAGCAACCATTTGGAGTAAGTTACGTAATGTTACCTTGCATTTTAGATATTGGAAGTAAAACTAGGACTGAAAAAGCCAACTTTAGTTATATTACCTTTAACTCATTCACTGCCATTGACGACTAAAGTCGTCATTTGCATTTTTTTTACTGTTTGAGCATCGGAACGAGCCCCCGCGCTGAGAGAACAAACATCTCAGCCCTGAAGCCAATCTTCATCCGCATACGTCACAGATCACATGATCAGGAAGCAACACATCCATGTGTTAGGAGATCGTTTTGGGCCGTTCCTGTAAAAAGAAGTGAGGCGCGAACCGGAGAAGCGTCTGCCGATCACAATTCGACAACGGATTATGAAAGAACGGATAACGCTAGAAACACACGGCTTCTTCCTGATGTAAGAGGTGAGTCTCCTCTTTGTTTTGGCATCGACATCATGCTAGCGCGCAACGTTCTGTGACTCTTAAAAAAACAGTAAAAACGGTGAGAAACGCTGGCAGCGAATGAGTTAACAGTGAAATATTTATTTGCTCTAACAACACATTTTTATTTTTATTGATATGAAAATCAGACACTCACAGCTGAGCCCTGCGACCCAGCAGGTCTGAGATCTTCATCCCTGTTCATCCCAACTTTTAGCCAATGAAAATATTTAGGGCAGGATTTTGATAGGAGCAGACGACCAGACCTACAAACAACCAGATACCGTTGCTGATCTTTCACACGGGAATCTTCTAACTAAATCTCTCCCAGATGGCGAAGTAGATGGAACAAAAGTCATTTGTATAACTAGCAATGCTTCTTTCAGCAGATTAAAATATGACCTAAATGCAAACACGCTATTAGAGGCCGTAAATCACTGACCCCAAAACAGAGGGGGCTTTGACAGGCTACGTGTGGGAGGAAGGTAGATAAACAAATGACGCCACAAAGGGGATAGCTACATGCTAATACTATGGACTAGTACCACAGTTATTCAATGAGATACACTAGACAGCTACTATGTGTGGGAGGACTTGCTGCACACAGCTGCACTTTTTGCTTATTTTTAACAAGTATTCTGTTTAGAGGTATCAAAAATCCTACAGAAAACTTTTGACAACATTTGTCTCTGCAGATTTTGGCATTCTTGCCTTAGTAAATGTATTTTTTCTCTATGTAAAAGTTTAGTAAAAACTATGAGGTATCTGGTAAAAACACACGCTATACTATAAGCCTTCAAAAGCAAAACTTAATGCATTGTGGTTAGCTACCAGGTGTTTGTAATTCATTGGTAAATATTTGAAAGCAACTTTTTTTTCCCCGTCAGTCGTTTCAGGTGTTCTTAGGGCCCTTTTCTCTCAGCTGGGTCACGCCATTTACCAGTCTGCTTCAGTCGACACGACGGACACACCAATGAACCAACTCATTGGTTTATTACAACCAGTGTTGGGAGTAATGCGGTACAAAAGTAATTAATTACTGTAATGCATTGCTTTTTGCTGTAATGTGGTAATGTAAGGCATTACAGGGAAAGAAAATGGTAATATTTACTCGGTACAATTGTCAGTAACGCGGTAATTACAATGCATTTTTAAACCCAGAATCAAGATGTGTTCCTTAAAAATTCAAATTGCGGGAAACCCGAAGAAAGATCCAGTATCTGCATATATTACGTCATTTATGGACTCAGCTTTGCGGGCAGAGAGGACGCAGCGGTACGCGGTAACGGACCGCGGTCAAGTGAGCCGTCATTTGTGAGCCGCGGTCAAGCCAGCCGCATCTTATCCACCGCGAACATTTCATTGCGCGTTTACAACAGTCAACGGCTCAACTACTCCAGCTGCGTCCTGCACGCGGCCGCTGCAACATTCACAAAATCGCTCCACTAAAACAAAATAATTAACTTGCGATCGTTCATATCAGCGCATATTCTCTAGTATTTTGTGCTTTTCTGACGTGCTTTGCCTCAGCTGAGTTCATAATCTGTGCCCCGGTGATTTCAACTCATTACTGCTGGAGCGCCGCGCATGTGAAGATCCCTCTGGCTGATAGTTAGAAAGTAGGAAGTCTAGGAAACAGTTTTTTCTGGAAGACGGAGAGAACATGCGGCATGCAGGAAGGTTAGAGAGAGAAAGGGCCGGAAATTATTCAAATAAAATCAAGAAAACAAAACAAAGTGCTTGAAAAGAAAAAAGTAGGTAGATTTTTCCCCAATACACATTTTTACCAGTGAAAAGCAATAATATATAAGCATTTAATATTTATACATGTGACAGAATCAGATCACCCCAGAAGTCAGTCCCACATCCAGGGCCATGTCAAGGAATTTGGGGACCAAGGCAATATAGGCTTGGGGCCCCCACCACCTCACTCCCTGCTCAGTTAATATAAGATGGCAGCGTGTTGAGAATACAGATTGTTGTTGCTTTTATTTAATAAACAATCATTTTAAAGCACTTTTATTATATCTGACAGTTTTTAACAGCAATCCTAGCTCAGACACCACATCACCTTCCACATATATGTCATGAGCTCACTGAGTGTCACATGACCAGATTCATATTGAAGTTGTATTGGTGAAAGTAACTTAGAGTAATGCAAAAGCCTTACATTTTAACATCAGTAATATTGTAATGTAATGAATTACTTTAAAATGAGGGTAACAAGTAATAAATAATGCATTACAGTTTTGAAGTAACTTGCCCAACACTGATTACAACTTATTTGAGAAGATGAGACACGTTTTCATAAATGATCATAAAATTGTCTCCAAGATTGGTTTCAGCCACAGGAGAAACTAACTTTTAGATTTCTACATAACATTTTGTATTAAACGTAAGTTAAATAGATGTGGAATACACCACTGATGACTGGCTGAATCATCACATTCTGTGTTTCACACAAATGGGCATACCTGTCATTGGAGAAGGTGGAACCACCTTTCTTTTGGTCTTCTTAAAAAATCCATCCTCTTGATTATTGAAGTAGAACTTCCTCATCAAAAATGACTAAAATATAAAAAAATACATTAGACATTAAATAAATAATTAATGCAGCACGTGAAATAGAAGTGGCGTACCTGTTTGGGAATGTATTTTCCATTTTCTCTCAGGATTCTGCTCCGAATAAGGACCTGGCTGAAATGTGAGCAGGAACCACACACAGGTATTAGTCTACCAGCTGTTTGTGTGACTCCCATCATGGACTATTAGTACAGATTACTTGCCTGTCAGAAACCTGCTCTAATGTCAACTTCTTGTCACTCTGAAGAAGAATCGACACATAATGCCGAATGACTCCAACAAGAAAGGTGATGAAGACGATGGGCAGAACCACCCAGAGTCTGATGTTGGAGTCTAGCAGCAGCTCCGGCTCGGCCATTCTGCCTGCTCGATCACTGGAGAATCAAGAACACAGCAGAAGGAGCTGAAAAATGCCACAATCTTCTCCTATTCGTACCAAACAAACAAAAATGTTTTTATAAAAGTATGTGTTTTGTAACAGCGGAGGACAAGACCAAAACACCTGATGAAATTCAGCTGGATGAGCTCAAAATGCTGTCACTCCCTTAAGTTAGGCTGCTAGTAATCAGATATTAAATCAGCTAAGAAGTCGACATATACAATCTATCCTACACTCCACGTCGTAAAGTTTTAAATTATTGTTACAAATTTCAACAAATATATGTAAAACAGCGACATTTGAATGATGCTAACGATAGCATGTGCTAATGTCAGCTAGCTTGCTACCTTCTTCTTGATGAACAAGAGGGTGGGAGCACCGAGTCGACTCTTTGAGATGACCACCAGTGGCAAATGTTTTCTTTGTATTCAAACAAAAGACACAACACCTTTACCGTAACTGCTTATTGAATATATGTAAAAATATTTAGGAATACACGGCGACTGCCATTGCGTTATGCTAGCTGCAGCGATGACAGCAGATTTCTTCAGCTGCTTCTGCGGGTCATCTCAACAGCCTGAAACTGCAGCGCCACCTAGCGGCCAAGGAGGAGCTGGCCCGTAAAGTGGATTTGTTGTAAGTGGAAATCATTGGGGAATATGTCAAAACAAAGAGGAAACCCGAAGAAAAACAATATGTCATAAATAATAATTATCCTTTAAATTTTTTGTTATATTTTCTATTAAAATTTTATGTACAGAAGTATATATTTTTTGCTTTATAAACTAGATGAGATTTTTTATCTCTGGCACAGGAAATTCACAGACAGTACAAACAAACAAACAAACAAACAAACAAACAAACAAACAAACAAACAAACAAACAAACAAGACGCTGTGACAACCTGTCACTGAAGAAGCTGCCTAAGGCCCCCACAGACAGGAGGTGTGAGTGGGGTCATCCCTGTTGGATTTTAATATGGCAGCATCCTCCTCTCACATCTTTAATTATACATTTCCTTGAAGAGGACAAGAGGACAGCTGAAATTCTGCTGTGCTTCCCTTGCAGTTGTTGACTTAATTAGAAGGTGCAAAGTGTATCAGAAAAAATATACTTCCACGGATGAGCATAAATTCTAATAGAAAAACACTTTAATAATACCAGAGGGAAATGAAATGTTGACCTAACTCATTCTTCCGAGCAATAATAAGAAAGAAAACCAAAGCTTTTGGGGGGAAAACATAGAATGTTGGCATGACCTGATCCAGAGCACAGAGGAAAAAGTCAAGCCGAAAAGAGTAAAGCATGCATATGAAAGCTGGCTCTGCTAACCAATGTTAAGAATAAGAACCCATGCAACGTATTTTAGATGGTGCAAGTAAAAATCAATCTTGGTAAAAAAAGAAAAGAAAACAATTCTTTTAAAAAAGGGTAAACTTATTTGAATTTGGAACCAGCTGACAAGGCTGGATAAACAGAAAACGGTATATATATATATAAAATAAAAAATCAGTATCTCCAGAAGATGGCAGTAGTGATGCTTTCGCGATGAAGGCTTAACTATGTATGTTATGATAAATAAATAAATAAATAAATAAATAAATAAATAAATAAATAAATAAATCGAACTTTTTAAGTTCAAAACTTGAGTCTGCAGGTTCTCCCTCTTGGAGAACATTTTGAGATGTGTCCATGAGAAAATAAATAGTACATTTTTGATTTTGTTTACCAGCTGAAACATAAAAGCTTCTACCATCGCTGACATCACCATTGGCAGTGTTTTGAAAGTTCAGTAACAATGTGCCAACATTTAATTAATGAAGTTCACCCTTTATTGCAGATTCTTGGTTTTTTTCTGTTTAGTTCAACTCCACTGAGCAGAAAACACCAAGTCATCTCCTGATTAAACCAAACTCATCACTGGAAGAGGAAGACGCCAAACAAGCAGCAGATGAAGAGTGTGTGAAAAACAAGCTGGTGGAAGATGATTTTCCCGCTGTGTCGCCATCAGTTTCCCCACTGAGGCTGCTCTGCGTCACGAGCAGCTCTCTGACCTCCACAAGGTGAGGATATGAATCAGCAGGTAATAAATGTGCAAGTAGCCATAAATATTCTCTTCTCCGCCATCTGTTCGGCACAGAACCTCTCAATACTGAACAATTGATTGTTTATTATTGCTTTTATAGCAAAAAATTAGTTATTCAGAGCAGAAACAGGATTTTAGACCTGGACAAGAAAAGAAGCAGAGGTTTATATTAAAGTAAGTTTGTTTATATCGAGAATGGATTCAAGAACAGTTGTTGACATTTTCAAAACAAGAATACAAGAGACAAAATGCATTTTACACATCCATCAACCCCCAACTTAGCACGACCTAGGAAGAAATCCAACATCTGTCTTTAATGATGAGATTTAAGTTTATTTAAAGCTCTAATTCATTTGTATTTTTTCTTCATATTCATTTGCAGTGAAAGGATGAATGTACTACTTTACTGTCCCGTCTTTGAGCGCCACCTGGAGGGCATCACCAATCAGCCTTGTTCTTTCTCTCCAAACAGACAAAGTAAATTACCTGATGGGCACCTGTGTCTGTTCTGTCTCCACTAATAACTGTCTTCACTGCCCCCACAGGCTTTAGCACAGACCAAAGGCACAGCGCTGAGCATGAAAGGAAGCTCATCATCATCTCATCCTCTGACACCCATCAGGATGCTGGTCTTCACACCCTATTTTCACACTTCACTGAGAAATGAGTGAACTGAAGCAGGAAAAGGAGTCCTAATGAACTGTGACGTCTTAATTATTTGATTTTTTAATGCTATTTCTCCTGTTAGAGGCTGATTTACAACATCCTCAAAAATACCTGGTAAAATCACAGCGCCTGACCCATTTGAAGTAACAAACATTTTTCTTTAAAGGATCTTCAAATTAATTAACTCTGCTACGTGATGGACACCTGTAGCCATTCTGTCTCCCCTAGCAGCCATTCACATGCAAAAAAACAACCATTTCATTAATGAAAACTTAAATGTAAATATATTACAATAGTAAAACAATACATGGTTAGAACTTGTCGTCTGTAATACTTAAGTCTCCCTCAAGGAGGCAGAAGAGTTTAATTAAAAGTAGCAGAAATTTGAGGAATGTACTAATCCTGTTAAAGAGGTAGAGGTCTAAGGAACTCAGGAATACACGTACAGAACATGGCACATTTGGCATTAGGCTGTTAAATGATTTATGATGTCATCAAAAATAGTTGACTGCTCCCTTTTCTGCCAGCACAGGTGCAACATTTGGGTAAACCAGCATCAGCTTGTACCGCCACAAAGTCAGGAGAAAGAAAAGAGGAAAAGTTGAAAGAAAAAAGGCAAAAAAAAAAACAAACTAGTAAAATTTCAAGCATTCTATATAATATAATATGTTATAGCATGGTACCAGTGTTTGACAGGTCTCGCCTCAGTCAGTTTGCCCGAGGGCAGCTGTAGCTACATTGTAGCTCATCACCATCAACGTGTGAATCTGTGTGAATGGGTAAATGATACACTTAGTGTAAAATACTTTGGATTCCTCTGGCTCAGAAAGGTGCTACACAAGTTAATATAATTACCAGCTCAGTGGTCTAGTGGTAGAATACTGGGGCAGCAGTAGCTCAGGTGGTAGAGCGGGTTGCCTCATGATCGGAGGGTCATGGGCTCGATTCCAGCTCCCGCCAGGGGTATCCTGCTGTTGTGTCCTTGGGCAAGACACTTCACCCAACTTGCCTGTGTTAGTGGTGGTCAGAGGGGCCGACGGCGCCGAATGGCAGCCTCGCCTCTGTCAGACCTCCCCAGGGCGGCTGTGGCTACAAGTAGCTTACCATCACTAGCAGTGTGTGAATGTGAGAGTGTGTGAAAGAGTCTTTGGGTGTCTAGAAAAGCGCTATATAAGTTCAATGTATTATTATTATTATTATTATTATTATTATTATTATTATCCTGGGACTGGGAAATCGGGGTTTGATATCCGGTCAGGTCATACTTTAAAAATGGGTCCAGTGCTTCCCTGCTTGACACTCAGCTTTTAGGTAGGCGGAGTGGAGCCCATGCTAGTGTGTAAGTGCCATTATTCTCACTCATGTCTTGGTTTCATTCTGTGGGACAAATCCTTATGAAAAAGTTCCTCCTAGCCTGCTTTTGTTTTGAATCTCGAGCTAAAAAAATTAATCTGCAAGTTTAGAATCCACATTTTTTCCCCTTTTTCATCTTCGTCTGATGCACTAATGAGTTTTTACTTAATTTTAAGAGACATGCACCTCTCAGGTCTTCTGTTTTGTTGTGGTTGCATTACAACAGCTTAAATTAGCAGCAGCTTCCCTCTATCTGTCTGTCACCAGTGGTGCCTCCAAAGGGTGGTCAGGGGTGGCCAGGGCCACCCCTAGAAAATGCTGGCCACTCCACTGGCCACACCAGAGAAGACCATTGTTCTTTAAGAAATCATATTAATGTTCACACAACATTATTTAATCAGACATAAATGTAAAACCCAATAAAATAAGAGTTTAAAAAAGTATATATGTTTCTCCCGCTCAACATTTTCAAAACAAAAGTTTAAATAGTGTTTAGAAATTTTTCTGTGAAAAGTTGTGTTCTTTAAATTTGAGGTAAGTGTGTTGGATGAATATTGTTAAAAAGAATAAAGGAGCACAGGAGGAACTCTTAAAGAGATACCACATAGACCAATCTGGTGTGCCACCCCCAGAATTTTCTCTAGCCCCATCTGGCCACCCCTATGAAATTTTTCTGGGGGCGCCACTGTCTGTCACAGAGACAAGTTGGGTATCCTCAGCTAACCACACGGTCCATAGAGGAAATGAGAGGAGGGATTTAAAGATCCCATTACTCAACAGTATACATGCGGCAGGATTCATTTGTGAAGGTTTTCTATAATCTGCAGTCACATAATGTGTTGTGGACAGGAAGGCGGCCTCCTCCTGACTAATGACAACGCAGCGTTTTGTAGTAACAGAATGACAGCTTTGATCTTCCTGCTGATTAATTCTGCAGTAGAGGATGAGCAGCACCCGCTGCCTCACAGAGACCCTTGTGACTTTCAGCTCTAGCTCGCATTACCAGAATATGTCAGCTGACCAAACATGCATAACGCTGCTGGTCTGCATCTTCATGCTCGTGAATAGGTGAACGGATGAGAAGCATGTGCATCTAAGTCCCAAAATATATAAAGTTTTAAAATATGATTAAATCTTAGTCTTCACCTGGATGTTTAAACATCACAGCGTCTCTTTCTGAGGTCTGATCAGCTGTTCTCAGGCTGAACAGACATATCATTTGGCGTTTACGATCATGCTCTCACAGAGCAGGTCTGATGACCCAAATAATGGCTTTTGTTTCATAGTTAGAACTTATCAATTTATAATTCACTTCGTATGAAGGACCTAAGTTTCGTTCGCTGCTGCTTCCTGGACTCTAAACAACAGCCTTCCACGACGCTAACAAGATGAGTGACTCCGTGAATGTTAAGTGACAGCTTGATGTAGACCTGTCAGGCTTTTCTAATGCTAGAGATTCACCATCTACTGTCTATCAG